AAAGGTCTCGATGAGTGTAACATCGGAATGAGCTTATATCTTTAAAAATGTCAATAGTTAAAAAACTCAGTGCAATTTAACATAATTAAGAAACGACCTTGTATCTTGTGAACTATTGACATTTTTACAGATATGAGCTCATCCCGATTTTACACTCATCAAGAGCTTTCATTTGAGTACCTACTTGCATTTTTGATATATTTTTCATATGTACATATATATATATATAATAATAATATATATATAAATATATGAAAAATTGATGTGGGTACTCAAATGAAAGCTCTTGATGAGTGTAACATCGGGATGAGCTTATATCTTAAAAAACGTCAATATTTAAGAAAGTACATAGCAATTTAACGAGTAATTATTTAACAAACCAAAAGTTTAATTATTTATAGTTCACAAGTCACCGAAGTCACATAGTGACTGCAAGGTTGTTAGTACTAATATTAACGTAAAATAAAATCATTTTACCCCAGTTTCAGAACAAATGGTCTTGTACTTGTACTCTTTGACACTAAGTGAGCTCATCCTTGCTTCCAATACGTTTACATCTTTATCAGGGCAGTGTATTCCTTCAATCATTTTAATATTTAATATCGGACAAAATGCATCACACAGTGTGTAGGCCCATTGAGTTACAATAGCTTGACAGCACAAGTTTCCAATATCAAAAAGCTTGTTGTGATACTGATAAATTAAAAAAATAAATAAAAAATCAAATTGAAATTTAAAAAAAATGAAACAATTAAATTTATCTATTTATAAATTCATAAACTCACCGCGCAGCCAATATTTTGTACGTAGTCGAAAGCTCCCTTATTCAATTCAGCCTCTGCTAACAAAGTACGATTCCCGGTCTCTGGAAATCCTTCATTTAATTCCATCATTAAAGTACCAAACAAATATTCCAATGAATACAAATCAAATGTATCAGCAGGAACTCCTATTATGTAGAATAAAATTTTAATTAATACTTATAATTATTTATTTCAAGCAATATTTAAATAAAATATAAAATTAAAAATTAAATTAAATTAAAAATAAAATAAAATATAAAATAAAAAATAATATAAAATCAAGAAATAAATAAATAAATATTTAAATAAAAATACTCACCTGCTGCGTCAGTTATCCTCTGGAAGAAACAAGGAACAACAGTCTTCATTTTGTTTGTCGTATACAAAGGTGGAAGTTTTTTCATTGATTTATCTCCAAGTGTCATAAAGTCATAAAATTTTTTGTATACATCTTTGTAATTAGTTTCTTCATCATCTTGGAAAATCTCAATTTTGTGGACCTCATCAGAATGTTCCATAGCTTCTCTTGCATAACCGATTTCAATTTTCAATTTAATAATTTCGTGGCAACATCTTTTCACACCTTCACTTAAAGAAAATTCAACGACTGCAAATTCAGCCGGTATGTAATCAACAACATTTTCCATATCTGTTTTGGTGTAATACCAGTGAACATGAATAAAGTAGAATGATATAATTTTAATTCCTGAAAATATGAATAAAAATAAAATAATGTTTATTAAAATTATAAGCAATAAAAAATATGCATACGGTTGGTATAAATGTCCTGTCTAATTGTAGTGTCAATGTACTCTCTCATATTTGTTTCATATTTTTGATTTTCTATCTCTCGTACTTCTAATGTCTTCACTGATTCACCAAGACCGGTTTTTTTTTCTTGGGTGTTTTTTTTTGCTCTACCGTTGTACATTTTTTTTTGGTCAGCCGACAATTCCTAAACAAATAACACAAAAGATTATATTTTTTTATAAATAAATTTAACAAGCATAATAAGTAATTAAAAATAGTTTTTGATTTTTGTGCAGTTATTAAATTATAACTAAAAAAAATTTTTTTTAAATTGCAATCATAGTTTTTTATGAAAATTAAGTTAGCCGATATCAAAAAATTATTAGTAAAAAAATTATTACAAAAAAAAAATATAAATGCAATTTTAAATGATAAAAAATTTAGCAGATATTTAATAATTTTTTTTAACAAAAAAAATATTTAAAAAATTAAAAATGCAATTTTTTAAAAATAATTTTTTGGAACAAATTTTTTTGGTAAAAAAAATTATGAAATTAAAGTTAGCCGACATTTAAAAATTTTTTTTTATTGAAAAAATCATTACGAAAAAATTATAAAAAAAATTTCACGTCTAAAAAACTTCAAAAACTGTAAGTGCAATTTTAAAAAAGCATTTTTTCGTTCTTATTTGATTATTAAAAAAAAATCAAAAAATTTAGAACGTCGGCTAACTTTAATGACATAAAAAAATTAAAAAATTCTTTAGTGATTGCTAATTTTAATGCCATCAATTTTAAATAAATATTTTTAAGTTCTAATTAAATAAATTAAAAAAAAATCAAAAATGTCGGCTAATTTTATTGTAATTTTTTGAATAAAAAAAAAATTCTAAAAAACTTAATTTTCATGAAAATCAATTAAAATTAATCAATAAATAAATAAATTTCTTTATAAAAGAAATTCTTTTGTTACTTACTTGCCATTCCTTACTACACTTGGCATTAGCTTGAATTTCAGTTAAGCTAGCAAATTTATTTCCATTTTTTTCTTCCCTTTTTTTAAAATCTAGCATAAAATAGTAAAATCCGTTTCTTTGATTTTTTTTTGACATTTTTATTGCCAAAAACAATCAACTTTTATCAAAGAAATTATCAATTGAAAAAACACCGGCACTAACAATGTAACTGCGTAAAAAAGCTTGAACAGTTCAAGTCAATCTGCTGTCTAAGGACTAACGAAAGTCGAGCGCGTCGGAGCTAGCTGAGTTTTCGGTTTGTTTCTTTCAGCCAATCACATTCTTGTAACCTCTTCACAGAACATAAATCCTATTGGTTAATAATTTTCTTCGGAATTCTTACATGAAGACACACACACAACAACGACAAAAGTTATGCAGAAAATGTGTGCCTCTTTCTTATCACTTGCATCTATTGGCCAGGTGCACGATGGTGCTGCCCTCATTTTTCATGCTTTTTCTGTGTTAAATCAAACGGAGTAATTTAGTTCCAGTGGTCGCCATTAGCGTTAAATCATGCTCTTCTCATAAGATTTACACGTAAAAGTGGTAGTCAGCGCCAGCCCTCCCCACCATATACTTCGCACCCTGCCAATATGTAATCTTATACACAAATATATGTGAATGTAAACAAACGATCAAATAGTTCAAAGAAATACATTGTTTGACATATTTATAGTTAAATTTTTAGTAATTAAAAAAATTATCTTTTTTTTTTTTTTTTTTCAAAAATTATAAAAAAAATAATGAAAATTAAGTTAGCCGACATTTAAAAATTTTTATAATTTATTTTGTTGAAAAATAATTTTTTAAAAATTAAAATAAAAATTTTCACATGTAGAAAATTTTAAAAATTATACGTGGAATTTTTTAAAAATATTTTCTTAGGTATAATTTTTAATTAATGAAAAAATTCAAAAATTATTGAGTGTCGACTAACTTAATTTTCATAAAAAATAATGAAAATTAAGTTAGTCGACATCTAAAAATTTTTAGAATTTTTTTTTTCATTGAAAAAATTATAAAAAAATTTTCATTTAAAAAAAACTTGAAAATTTGTAATTGCAGTTTTTGAAAAATATTTTTTTTGTATTAATTTAATTATTGAAAAAAAAATTAATTGTCGGCTAACTTAATTTTCATAAAAAAATACGGATCTATATGTAATCTTATACACAAATATATGTGAATGTAAACAAACGATCAAATAGATCAAAGAAATACATTGTTTGACATATTTATAGAAATTAAAATTAAATTTTAGTAATTAAAAAAAAAATTTTTTTTTTGAAAAATTATAAAAAAAATAATGAAAATTAAGTTAGCCGACATCTAAAAATTTTTAGAATTTTTTTTTTCATTGAAAAAATTATAAAAAAATTTTCATTTAAAAAAAACTTGAAAATTTGTAATTGCAGTTTTTGAAAAATATTTTTTTTGTATTAATTTAATTATTGAAAAAAAAATTAATTGTCGGCTAACTTAATTTTCATAAAAAAATACGGATCTATATGTAATCTTATACACAAATATATGTGAATGTAAACAAACGATCAAATAGTTCAAAGAAATACATTGTTTGACATATTTATAGAAATTAAAATTAAATTTTAGTAATTAAAAAAAAAAATTTTTTTTTTTTGAAAAATTATAAAAAAAATAATGAAAATTAAGTTAGTCGACATCTAAAAATTTTTAGAATTTTTTTTTTCATTGAAAAAATTATAAAAAAATTTTCATTTGTAAAAAACTTGAAAATTTGTAATTGCAATTATTGAAAAATAATTTTTTTGTATTAATTTAATTATTGAAGAAAAATCAAAAAATTAAAATCGTCGGCTAACTTAATTTTCATAAAAAAATACGGAAGAATTTGACATTTAAGCGAAAAAAGAATCATTCCTAATATAAAATTGAGATGAAATGTATGTGGCATCAAACTATTCGTAACGTGATTGGTCAAATATATCATTCCTAATATAAAATTGAGATGAAATGTATGTGGCATCAAACTATTCGTAACGTGATTGGTCAAATATATCATAAACATGAAAATATATGCAAACTCTATAGTCAAGGCGCGCGCTTGCGCGCGTAAATTTGAATTCTAGTAATATAAAATAGTTAATTATAAAAAAACAGCTGATCAAAAACATTTGTTAGAAAATAATGAATTAAGTGAAGAAAAATGTATCTATTATCGACTAAGTACGTCACATTACAGTAATAAAGATGACAGACATTAGAAATTTTTTAATAATTTTATAAAAATGAAAATAGGTTTAATTAAAAAATTCAAGTAAAAATAAAAAAAAAATTGTTAACAAAAATTTTTTTTATTCTGATTGATTTTTTATAAAAATTTATAATAAAGATGTATATTATTCTTGAATATGAAATAGAAAATTTATGTGAGTAAATAGAAAACACAAAAATTATAGAGAAAAATTTCAAAAGTAAAATAATTTGTTTTATTAATTTTTTAAATATAGAAAAATGCACAAGTGCTTACTATATCAAATAACTTAGTCTAACATTTGGATAATAATATTTTTATAAATTAATTTATGTTTTTTAAGCCAACAAACAAAATATATTTTATACAGTTTTTTTTATAAATGTTTTGAAGTCTAAAATATTAAATTAAACATGCAATGAAAATAATAGAAGCCTATAAGTCATTTGTATATTTTTTCCCGATAATATAATTTAAAACTAATTTTTTTTTTTTCTACAAATGACAAGTTAAAAAAAATCAATAATTTTCTTCAGTCTCTTCCGAGTCATTGTATAAATCTTCGAGCTCATTAAGAATTTTAGTTGAAATAGTTCGTCGTAAACTTTTATTCCTTGCAGGAGTGTCATCTCCATAATTGATAGCCCGTCTAAATCCATTAGCATCTGGAGTTTCTAAAAATGTCATGGAAGCTTTCATAGCCATGTATTCACGAAGTGGCCTAGCACTTTTTGATTTAATTATTCGCTTATCATTTTTTGGTGTAATGGGCGCTGAAAATGACTTAGTAGTCGAATGTACAATATTCAATTCATTTTCCAGAGAAACAAAGCTATCATTTTTTCTGGGAGTCAACTTGGAGGCTATTCGAGCCGACCTTCGACGCTCTTCCATGCTTGAGGAAGATCTTCTTTGTTTTTTTTCACTACGATCTCTTTTACTGCTATTAAAAATTAAATTACTATCAATTTTATCATTATTATTATTATTATTATTATTATTATTATTATTATTGCTGTTTTCTTTGTCATCAGGTGAAGCAGAAATTAAAGAAATTAACGGAGATGAAGAAACACAGGAAGTATTTGATGGTTCACTGACCTGACTTTGAAATTCATTATTTTTAACAGATAAAGCTGTAAAAATTTTTTGCACCAAGTCAATTAATAAAGACTGTTGTTCTTTAACTATTTTTAAATCGTCTTTAACTGTCTGTAAGTCATTTTCTATTTTTTCAAGTCTAGAATTCTGAAAAAGATCCAAATTAGCTCCGTCAGTTGTCAAAGGCTCCAAATTATCAGGTGGAATATTTTCCTTGTCAACAATTGAAGCTTCAAGGTCAATAGTTCTGTTTGCAATATTATTAAATGTACCATGTTCAACGTGAACTACTTCACAGTTGTCAATTGGCTGATTATTTACCACAGAAGAACGTTTTTTGGAAACAGATTTAATAACAGTGGGTCGTTGATAAGGCTGTGGTGATATTTTCATTACTTCTGATAGACGCTCTTCTACTACAGTAGGTGGACAGCTATCAAGAACTTTTTGTTTGTTTTTTTTAACAATGAAATTCGGCTGCGGCAACATACTTTGTCGAGCCTTAGTTTTAGGTGCTATACTTCTATTTCTTTTAAATGATGGAGTGTTGGGTTTGGAAATTGATACTGAGCTTTTGGTTTCAACTGATGATTGGGAGGATGTACTTTTTGAAGGAGAAGGTGATTTTCCGTAAAGAGCGCGGCGGACTGTGTGCTTTGGAACTGCGAATAATTTTGTTTTTCTTGATTGACGATCTGAAAATAATTATTAATTTAATTTACATCTATTAGACTATTTTTTAATTTCTTTTTTAACAAATAAATTTGGTAAGAAGTTATTCTTAAAAAATTGCATTTTTGAATTTTTTTCAATTTTTACATGACAATTTTTTTAATATTGAAGTTAGCAGTCACTTAATTATTCTTAATTTTTTTTAACAAATAAATTTGTTCAAAAAATTTATAAAAAATGCATTTTTTATTTTGTTAAATTTCTACATGTCAATTTTTTTATCTAATTATTTTTTACCATAATTTACTTGTTAAAAAAATTATCAAATATCAAATAAATTAATTTTCATGATACTAAAGTTAGCCGACGTTTTTAATTTTTTGATTTTTTTTAATTGCACTTACAGTTTTTAAAGTTTTTTTCAAATGAAATTTTTTTTTTTATTTTTTTGTAATCATTTTTTTAATGAAATAAAATCTTAAAAATTTCTAAATGTCGGCTAACTTAATTTTCATATTTTTTTTTGTCATTAAATTCATGAAAATTAAGTTAGTCGATATCTAAAAATTTTTAAAATTTTTATATAAAAAAAAATTAGTACAAAAAAATTTCATTTGTAAAAAACCTGAAAAACTATAAGTGCATTTTTTAAAAAATACTTTTTAGTTCTAATTTAATGAATTAAAAAAAAAAATCAAAAACGTCGGCTAACTTTAGTATTATCATAAATTATTTGTTAAAAAAATTTGTTGAATTATTAAATATCTATTAGAATAACGTCGGCTAACTTTAGTATTATCATAAATTATTTGTTAAAAAAATTGTTGAAATTATTAAATATCTATTAGAATAATTATTATTTAAAAAGGCGCGCAGTAGCCTATCGGATCCGGCCCTTGCTTACCAAAGCATTGGACCGGGTTCGAGTCCGGCGTACACCAATTAAATGAATATTTTCAATATTTAAGTGTATTATACTGCACAGCCCAAGAAATAAAACGAGTTCCAATCTCAAAAGTTTACCCCCTACCGTAGTCGCTCATGACCTTAGTAGTTTATGCGACTTTAAACAAATTAAGAAAAAAAAAAAATTTTTATTTTGAATCAAGTACTTTTAAAGATAAGTTTTATTATTTAAAATAAATAAATAAATTATCCATTTTTATTTCACTTACCAACACTTGCTGATCTTGCTTTGGAAGCTGACAATAATAAGTCTTTTATCCGCACTGGCTCCATCCTCGGCTTGTCTACATATATAAAAAATTAGTAAATAAGTAATTAAGTAAAGAATGTAAATTATTTATTAGTGAAAATTAAATTAATAACTTACGTTGTTTTTTGTCAGAACTTTTATTACATGCATTGATATATTCTGAAAGCCGAATCGGCTGATGAACTAAAAACATAAAATATAATTAAAAATAACCTTATTTAAATTATAAAACTTTTTTTTATTTATTTTAAATTAAATTTTACCTGATTTAGCAGTCGCCATTGTAAACACTTTGTTATCAATAAATTTATAATTAAAATTATATGATTAATAATTAAAATTAATAAAGTTTTTCACTGTTTATTATTCGTTGTTTATATTATCAGTTACACGATGCCATATACTGTAGCTGAAAATTTGAAATGAAACGGATGAAAAAATATCGAGATTTTACACTAATCGATTTATACAGTGCTGACCTCTGGTGGTGACTAATATAATTTCTAGCGGTACTTTTGAAAATTAAAAATTTTGTTTACAATTTCAACATAACCAATAATATTTGTGAAATTGAAATTCGGAAACAATTTTACAATTTTTATAAATTTTTTAACTGATAAATTACAATAATAAAAATTTATTTTAAAAATTCCATCTTGAGAAGTTCTAAAAAAATTATAAGTGCAATTTTTCGATTATTATTAAAAACAAATAAAAAAATTGTCAAGTGTTTGCCAATTTAAACGTGTTTCTTTATTTTGACATTTATAATTGATTAATTAATTAAAATTGTAAAATAGTAATAATGTGTGGAATATTTTGTTATATTTATCACAAAAAGGAAAATAATGATAAGGTAATTTTATAATTTTAAATATCAATAATAATTGAGTTACTAATTTATGATACTGAAGTCAGCTGTCAAGCTGTCAATTTTAAAAATTTTTATAACAAGTTAATTAAAATATTAAAAATACTTTCTACATGTGGAAATTTTTATTACATTTTTTTTATTATAATTTAATATGAAAATAAAGCCAGCCATCTAAAAATTTTTATGATTTTTTTTATTAAAGAATTATTAAAAAAATTAAAAAAAATTTTTTCATTTGTTAAAAACTTCAAAAACTATAAGTGCAATTTTTTAAAAATATCTTTTAGTTATAATTTAATAAATTAAGCAAAATAAAAAAATTAAAAATGTCAGCTAACTTTATTATTATTAATTTAATTGCTATAAAAAATTTTTACTGTCTGTCATGCTAATCTTATTATAATTTCAGTGGGATTTAATAAAAGACAATATATCAAAGCGTGGACCAGATAAATTATCATCTTACAGCCAAACCTTTAATGAACAATTAGTAGGTAATTTTTCAGCTGGTGTTTTATGGATGCAAGGTCCAGAGCCAAGAGTTCAGCCATGCGTTGATGATGAAGGGAACATACTTCTCTGGAACGGAGATATTTTTTCTGGGCCTTTGGTATGTATAATATTCTATGAAAATTAATTTAGTAGATATTTATTAAATTTTAATAATTTTTTTAACAATTAAATTACGGCAAAAAAAAAAAAGAAAAGAAAAAAGAAATTGACATGTAGAAATTAAAAAAAAATTAAAAATGCAATTTTTTAAAAATTATTTTTCGGAACAAATTTGTTAAAAGAAATTAAAAAATTATCAAGTGACTGCTAACTTTAATGTCATTAATATTCCAAGTCTTTTTTTAATATGAAAATAAACTTAGCCGACATCTAAAAATTTTTATAATTTTTTTATTAAAAAAATTATTACAAAAAAAAAAATTTTTTTTTCATTTATAAAAAATTTTAAAAACTGTAAGTGCAATTTTTTAAAAATATTTTTTAGTTGCAAATTAATAAATGAAAAATAATAAAAAAAATTAAAAACTTGTGGCTAACTTTAGTATTATTTTTTGAAAATTTTTTCCAAGTATTTAAATTTATTTTTCTTTCAGAAAATTGAAAACGAAAGTGATACATCTGCGTTCTTGACACATTTAAAATCAAGTAAAAATATTTTAGAAACAATAAATCTAATTGAAGGTCCTTTCAGTTTGATATATTACCAAAAATCTACCAACTTGCTCTACTTTGGAAGAGATTTTATTGGCCGTCATAGTCTCTTAATAAAAGTAGAAAAAAATGAATCTTTTATGCTAACTTCAACAGCTAATAAAAGTATAGAAAATATAATTGAATTGCCAGCATGTGGAATATTCGTCATGGACTGTAACAATTCCAATTTTGACTTAGCTTGTTATCCATGGCATGCTTCGCATCAGAGATGCCAAACAATTCTAAATGACTTAAATCTTCCAATAAATATCACTGTTAAGGAATCAATATTATCTTCAAAATTAACAGACAATAATCTAGAAACAATTCCTGATAATTTATCTTATTTTGAAGCTGACTTAGATACAAAAGATGTAAAAAAATCAATGAGCGAGTTGTTAAAAAATTCTGAAATTAATGAACGTGTTGAAAGTCTTTGGAAGCTTTTAAAAAAATCTATAGAAGTAAGGATAAAATTAAAACCAGAGTACTGTAAAAATTGTATAAAGCTTATTTTAGCTGATGAAATTAATTTAAAGTGTAATCACTCTAAAATTGGTATTCTTTTTTCTGGAGGTTTAGACTCGACAATTTTAGCGGCTATTGCTAATGAATTTGTACCTGATACTGAAAGCATTGACTTGATTAACGTGGCTTTTGAAAAAAAATTAAAATCTAATGGAGAAAAAATTAAATCCAATTGTGGAGTTTCAATTTTTGATGTACCTGATAGACTTACTGGCCGACAAGCTTTTAAAGAATTAGAAAAACTTTATCCTAATAGAAATTGGAATTTTATAGAAACAAATGTTTCGCGGAAAGAGTTAGAAGATTGTTGTGAAAATATAATTAGTCATTTAATTTATCCGCTAAAAACAATTTTAGATGAAAGTTTAGGGTGTGCAGTTTGGTTTGCCAGTCGTGGTTCTGGTTTGTTGTCTAATGAAGAATTTTATGAGTCTCCTTGTAGAGTACTACTTCTTGGAATGGGCGCAGATGAACTTTTCGGAGGATATACTAGACATAGAACTACGCTTCGTCGCCAGGGTTGGAAAGCACTCTGGCAGGAGTTAAATATGGAGTTGTTCAGAATATCTGAAAGGAACTTGGGCAGAGATGATCGGGTTATCTCCAATCACGGCCGTCAATCTCGTCTGCCTTATCTCGATGAAAATGTGATACAATATGTAAAAAGTCTTAAGCCTTGGGAGCGTTGCTATCCGACTGAAAAAATGCCTCCTGGATTTGGTGATAAATTATTACTGCGTCTTTTAGCGTTTAAAATTGGATTACATGAGACTGCGAGTTTTCCTAAAAGAGCTTTTCAATTTGGATCGAGAATTGCTAATAGTAAGCAAAATGCAAATGACATTTCTAATTTCCTGCGATAAATTTTAAAATTTATACTAGCAACCTTGCAGTCACTATGTAACTTCCGTGACTTGTGAACTATAAATAAATAAAATTTTGCTTTATTAAATAATGATTTTTGTCAAATTGCACTGTACTTTCTTAAATGTTGACATTTTGTAAGATATAAGCTCATCTCGATGTTATACTCATCGAGAGCTTTCATTTGAGTACCCACATGCATTTTCATATATACATATATATAAATATATAAAATATATGAAAAATTGATGTGGGTACTCAAATGAAAGGTCTCGATGAGTGTAACATTCGGATGAGCTTATATCTTTAAAAATGTCAATATTTCACAAGATATAAGGTAATTTCTTAATTATGTCAAATTGCACTGTACTTTCTTAACTATTGACGTTTTTAAAGATATAAGTTCATCCCGATGTTACACTAATGAAGAGCTTTCATTTGAGTACCCACATGCGTTTTGATATATTTTTCATATATACATATATATAATATATATAAATATATGAAAAATTGATGTAGGTACTCAAATGAAAGGTCTCGATGAGTATAACATCAGGATGAGCTTATATCTTTAAAAATGTCAATAGTTCACAAGATACAAGGTCATTTCTTAATTGTGTATCTAGAGATAGAGCATTTTCGAATGCAGCCTAAATACGCATCATTAGTATAATAAATTAAAGGCACGACCTTTGCAATGAAACTAAATTTCATTGATAAAAACGATTTTATCATGACTATCCTGGAGACAAAATTTTTCTTTATTTTCCTAATAATATAGACTATGTAAAAAAAATTACAATTTTTTACTTTTATAATTTTTTTAATTATTTAAAGTTAATTAAATAAAAAATAACTATTTTATTTTATCAACTTTTGTAATTAAATTGTAAAATTTAATTGAGTGGAACAAAAAAATTCATATTTGTAAATAATAATTATAAGCTTGATTTATTTTTAACTAGTACAATTCTAAAAAATATTTACTGATTGATAAAAAATAAAGTAAAGCAAGAATAAGATAAGAAACAAGTGACCTTTGGCTTTACTCTGACTGTATTAACAAAGAAAAAAAGAAGATAGTGAATATAATTAAACCTGAAATATATTGTAGAATAACTTTAAGTCTCATGCAAACACAGTTCCGTATACTTTTTAGAAGCCAAATAATTTAATCAAGTATCTAACAAGATAAAACTATGGACGCGCAATATTTATCGTTAATTTCTCAAGCAGAAACTAAAATCAGTGATAATAATTCATTATTAACATCAACAAAAATTCGGAATTCTAAAATAAAAGATGTATTTATAAGTGCTTGGCCCAAAGGATTGGAAAAAGAATTCAATCAACTACTAACCCGCGAAGCCGTAGAATTTATAGTAGACCTAATTGTCGAGTTTGAAGACGGCATCAATAATCTTTACAGCAGTAGATTTAAAAGAAAACTCCAACAAACAAGTCTTAAAAATACTTTAAAATTTTTAAAACCAAATACCGATGATTGGAAAGTGGCTCCAGTAAGTGATCGTTTGAGCAATCGCCGTTTGGATTTAGGAGATGTAAGCCCAAGTAACTTGGAGCACTTTAGTGCAGCAATGTGTGCTGATGTCCAAGGAATCCAGGTTGATTTTGACGATGGACACTGTCCCACATGGTTCAATCAAATCTACGGTCTTCATAATGTTTACAAAGCAGTCCACAATCTCTTTCCAAGACTCCCTGATGTTTCTCAAGCACCTATTCTGATGCTAAGACCGCGAGCTTGGAATATGCTGGAGGATAATTTTAGCATCAATGGAAAATCCATTCCCGGTTCATTATTTGACTTTGCATTATTAATTTTTCATAATGGTAAAAAACTCCAGCAGTCAAACAACGGACCTTGTTTTTATCTTTCCAAACTTGAGAGTTATCAAGAAGCTAAACTCTGGAATGATATTTTTTCTTGGAGTGAAAATAAACTTGAACTTCCTTACGGTTCAATTAAAGCCTGTGTGCTTATTGAAAATATTTTAGCCATTTTTGAAATAGAAAATATTTTATACGAGCTTAGAGATCACTCTCTTGGTCTCAATTGCGGAATTTGGGACTATGCAGCGTCAATTATTTCTAAATTTTCTAATGATGAGTCATTTGTTATTCCAGACAGGAATAAATATGTAAATATGAGTCAACCTTTTCTGAAAAAATATTTACAGCTTGTAATTAAAACTTGTCATAAAAGAGGAACTCATGCGACTGGTGGTATGATTGCAAGTTACTTACAAAAAAATATTGGCTCCGAAGACTATCAGAATTTATTAAACGACATCTTGGAGAGTAAATTGATGGAAATTCAAGAAGGCATTGATGGTTTTTTGATTTATGATTTGTCTTTAATCTCTGCAATAAAAAATCTGTGGAAAAAGTGTGATAAGTTTAATGAAATTAATTATTGTAGCTTGAAGGAAATAACTAAAGAAGATTTGTTAACACTTCCTAAAGGCGGTGTTACTATTGAAGGATTGAAACACAATATTCGTGTCTCTATTTTGTTTATTTACAACTGGCTAAATGGTAAAGGACACTTTGTTCATCAAAATTCAGTTGAAGATTCGGCTACTGCTGAAATATCAAGGTCACAAATCTGGCAGTGGATAAGACACTCAGCGAGATTAGAGAGTTTTGATGATGTAGTTGTTACCATAAAAATGGTCCATTATTTTGCTAAAGAAATTCTTGAGAATCTTTTAATTGAATCTGAAAAAAATGGGGGTGTAAAAAAGAAACTTATTTTAGCAACAGATCTATTTTTTGGTTTAATTAATTCTTATGAATTTCCTGAATTTATCACAACTTATTTGTATAATGCGTATCCATTTAAAAAAATTCATTCACGTTTATAATTTTTTATTTTAATATTTTTTTATAGAAATATCAAAATTAAATGTTTACTTGTATACACAATTGGCAATAAAAATAATATTAATTGTAAACTTAACGGTGAATTCAAAAATTATAGCTATTAATTTATTATTCATTATTATCAACTCGATAGAATTGATTTGTTTTTTTTTTTAATTAAAATTAATAAACAATTTAATTAATTAATCACTTGAATTTTTTCCTGATACTTTATTTTTTAAATTTTGTAAATCTTTATGTATATTGCCAATCGGAGTTAGTATAAATAAATATAAATATAAAATAAAATTGCAAGTGTCAATAATTGGGTCTTATACCTTAATTGAAAATATTAGAAAAAAAAAGTTTATTAAAAAAAAAAAAATCATAACTCCGTGTGTTTCCACTTTGATTCTAATGTGCTATCTGCATCACTAAACCATTGATCATACACTTCAAGAGGATCAATCATCCAAAACTTGTGAAATGATACAGGTTCCTGAGAAGCAAGGTAATTTCTAGCGTAATCTGAAGGTCTTGCCTGTAAAAAAAAATAAAATAATTAACAATGCTAAAGTTAGCCGACATTTTCAATTTTTTCATTTATTTAATTATAACAAAAAAAATATTTTTAAAAAATTGCACTTATGGTATTTCATATTTTTTATGAATGAAAAATTTTTTTAATTTCTTTATAATAATTTTTTCAATAAAAAAAAATCTAAAAATTTTTAGATAGCGGCTAACTTATTTTTCATAAATAATTATTTTCAGAGGTTGGAAGAAATTTATTATTAATCATACTTGGTGGAACAATGGTGAGTGGATAATTTGTCCTTCAATATTATTTAAACAAATCCCAAAAAGAAACATATCATCCGGTGTAGACGCAGTAGGACATTTACAACTTGGAGAATTGACTATTTTTTCCACAAGAGATAATGACAAAACTAAACCTGCACCACCTGTTAAATAATCATACCCAGTATCTCTTATAGTACGGTATCCATAACGTTCTCCTAAGGCAATCAATTTCTTTGGATTATAACAAGTGAGAACTCGCAGTAGCCGTGCAATACTGTTGTACAAAGAATTTTTTATAATTACTTATGCATTAATATTTTTATAATTATTACTTATGCAATCAATATTTTTATATTTTTTATAATTACTAATAGAATTAATATTCTTACTAGGGAATTAAAATTACCTAAAAATTGTATCGTCATCAGCAACTACCAGCCAATTAAAATTATTTTTTTTCAATACATAATTTGCATGCTTTAAAATAGCATAAGTTTTTTTACAGTGCCCTTCTTTGGTATCAGGTACTACATGTACATTCGGAAGACTTTTATCTGCAATTAAATTTTTTTTAAATTAATATATAACGTAAAAATTATTTGAGTAATTAAATATACCTTCTACATTACTGTAAAGTCCAAAATTCTTAACATTTTTTAACCAAGTCTTCATTATTATAGGAACTCTATCCTGATGATTCTTATCATACGTTTTGACAGCCACATAAATATCATCTTGCGATATAGAATTTGTCTATAATTTGTCTAAGTTATTATTTATTGTTAAAATAAATTTAAAATAATATTTATCAACTGACACAAGCGTGAAATCCCTTTGGATACGTAGCGCAATTTTCCGTAAAAAAAATACAGAGTTCCGGGGAGTGCGTCAAGCGAGGTCCTTTGCCATTGTTATAAATATAACTAGAAAATTCATAAGAAGCATCAATACTAAAATCGACGTTGGGTAATCCTTCCTTTGAAAGTCTTTTATCTAAATTGTGAAGAAGAGTACTAGTCATTGCAAAACCTGAAGCTAGATTTGGATATTTGAATTTTTTAGTGTGATCTGCAAAATGATGAATTATTGTTGGCTCTTCATCGTATAAAACATGACTGATCCAAGTGTTCTGTGGCGAAAAAAATAGTTGTAAAAATTATTAGGATAAATTTTAAGAGTTTACTTACTTCAGAAACTTTGAACTTTGACAGGATAGTTAAAAGAACTGGTAATTTAATATCAGTATTTTCTAAGCAGAAAAAAAACCATTTAGCTTGTGGGAATTTTGATGAAAGCTTAGGAATCAATGGAAAAAATGTCCAAGATCCGTCTATTTGTTCTTCATGAGTTAAAATAAACTCTGGTGCTTTCTAACAAAAATAAAATTAGACACAAATTTAGCAGTTACTTAATAATTTTTTAATTTTATTTAACAAAAAAATTTCTTCCAAAAAATTATTTTTAAAAATTTCTACATGTCAATTTTTTTTCTCATTTTTTTATGAAAATTAATTATAACATTAAAGTGAGTAGTCACGAGAAAATTTTTTAATTTTGTTTAACAAAAAAATTTGCTCCAAAAAATTATTTTTAAAAAATTGCATTTTTTATTTTTTAAAATTTCTACATTTAAATTTTTTTTCTATTTTTTTTGCCATAATTTATTTGTTAAAAAAAATTATAAAATATCTGCTAAATTTATCATCATAAATTAATTTAGCAGATATTTGATATTTTTAAGAATTTTATTGAAAAATAAATTATGACAAAAAAAATTAAAAATGCAACTTTTTAAAAATAATTTTTCGGAAAAAATTTATTTGTCAAAAAAAACTAAAAAATAATTAAGTGACAGCTAACTTTAATGTCATAATTTTTTTTGCCATGATTTATGTTAAAAAAAATTTTTTAAATTATCAAATATTTATGACACTCAAGTTAGCAGACGTCTGAAAGTTTTTATTTTTTTTTTATTAATTAAATTACAGCTAAAAAAATATTTATAAAAAATTGCACGTATAGTTTTTCAAGTTTTTTTACATGTGACAACTTTTTTTTAAATTATTTAATTGAAATTTTTTCAACAAAAAAATTCTAAAAATTTTTAAATGTCGGCAAACTTTATTTTCATAAATATTTACTAAATTAATTTTTATATAAAACAATTAAAAGCTTCCTTACTTGACCTAAAGCCTCTGCATCATTAATAATTTTATTTTTCAATAATTCAGCATGAGCAACATGATATTCATCAGGTTGACTTAAAATTGTAATTATAATATCTGAAGATTCTAAAATAAAAAAAAAAATGTTAATTAATTAAATTAACCATTTTATTAAAATTTATGTCAAATAAATACTTACTTAATGATGAAGAAGAAGGAGAAATAAAAATAAATAAACAAAGTGCAATAATAAACATTTCGAATGTCATGTAAAAAAAACAGTTTGTATTTTTAACAATAATAATAACAACAGGGACGTAGTTCATAAAAGCTGACACCCAGTAGGCAGCGCTAGTAGTCAAATTAAATATTTGTCATATCAGAGTCGTATATTTTAATAAAAAGTGACTTTGTATATATTTACAGTGCTTAAATTTTAATTTGTAGAATATTTTGTGTTTTAACAAGTTAAAAATTTATTTGAAAAAATAATTGAATTTATGGCACAAAAATAAATGACAATTTAGGTCAGCCATATTTGTTTTAATAGGACTAATACCGGAGTCAAGTAAACTTATATTTTTAGAGTGTTAAATGTGTTAAATTATATTATTATAAATATTAAATAATTTTTTTAAGCCAAGCTCACGTTTTAGATAATTAATTTTATTTATTTATTAATTATTGTATTAAATTAATTAATTAAATTTTTATTTTTAATAATTAATAATTGTGAAATTTTAAACAGCTGACTGACTTAGGTTGTTAAATTAGATCAGTAAATCCGTCGCCGTCACAGCGACGGGATAAAATTTTCGACGTGAGATCGTCGTCATTGGCGACAAAACGTGATAAATAAAAATCAAAAGGAGGTGAAAAGACTATCATAAAGAGCGGATATAATCCGTTGTGTGTTTCTAATTATTTAAAAGTTTATTTTGTGTGTCAGCATATTTGCTGTTATTGAAAGTAATCGACGAAGGTCGTGATAATTCGTAACTCGACAATCGAACATGGCTTATTGAAACAATGAAGGGTTTGCAGCTAATTACCGTTTCTCCCTTTGGAGAAGAGCTTATCTCTATCTGTAATTCTACTACGTATTTAATTGGCCTGAAGGCCATATTTTATCATGGACAAAAAGTCGAGATACAACACGCCGCCCTCTGGCAACAAGGGCGCTGCTACTGATTCTAAAAAAAGTCAAGGTATGCATTGCTAAATAATCTTGTACTAAAATTTATTATTATTATTATTATTATTACTAACAAATCACCTTATTAATCGTAATCACCGTGATAACGATTGTGTAATAATTTAAATTATTATTTATTTGTTAATTCGTAGATGTCGCCAATGGTAAAGTCTTCCCAAAGACCTCTAAGAAACGAGAATCAACTGGAGCAAATAATTATTCGAAAAATGAACAACCTAGAAAGTCAAGTGTGCAAAAGGCAAGAGCTTTTGATAAGAGACCAAAACCTAAAGGACAATATTATGGCAGTGCAAAGGAGAATTCCAAGGTTTTTATAATAATAATAATAAATGACATTAAAGTTAGCAGTCACTTGATGGAAATTAAGTTAGCCGACATCTAAAAATTTTTTTAATTTTTTTTATTGAAAATAAAATTTTTTTTAAATTTCATTCGTAAAAAACTTTTTAAAAAATATTTTTTAATTCTAATTTAATAAATGGAAAAAAATTCAAAACGTCGGCTAATTTTAGTATTATAGTCGATTGGATTTTTTTAACAAAATTATTTTTTAAAAATTGTATTTTTTAATTTCTCCATTAAAATTTTTTTTTTTGCCATAATTTGTTACAAAAATTATTAAATATCTGCTAAATTAATTTTCATTAATAATATTACACTTATAAAAATTAAGTTAGCCATCTAAAAATTTTTTTTCATTGAAAAAATAATTACAGAATAAAAAAATTTCATTTGTAAAAAACTTGATGAACTGTAAGTGAAATTTTTAAAAAATATTTTTTAGTTCTAATTAAATATTTAAAAAAATAATCAAAAAATTAAAAACGTCGGCTAACTTTAATGTTATTACACATTTAATCAAATTTTTATATAAATTTATGTGTATGTATTGATAATATATTATCTAATAGGTAGGTAATGATGAAATGGCCGAGATGGGCTCGGTTATGACCCCAGGAAGTAAAAAACAGAATTTGAATCATCTGTTAAACTTTCACTATGAACCACGTGAAAATCGCTGTAACTATGGAAGGTCGTCGAAGAATTATAATAACAGCAATCGTTGGTTACCACCTGTTCAGCGACATAAATACAATAAAGAATTATTTCTCCAAGCAAAGTAAGTAATATTTTTATTTAATAATGATAAATAATTTGAATTTTTACTACAACATAAAAATATTTGGCGTATGTTAGTATCAATAATTTAATTTGATAATGTGTGAAATAATTCACAAATAAATTTTTAATTATTACACAATCGTTTATATAATATTATCTTTTATTTATAGCTGTCAATTTGTGGTGAACTGCAGTGGGAATTATTCGATTCATCTGATTGACCCAGATACTTTGGTGGATTGGGACCTGATAGAGCAAATTGTAAGAAATATATTTATATATATTTATTTAAATATATCTATATATTTATTTTCTTGCTAATAATTTTTTTATGAGTATAAAAAATAATTGAATGGCTCTTTTTTTAATGAAAATTTTTTTACTCATCTTTTAGAAAGTACAAACATCAGAAAATCTCTCCTGTCCCATTTGCTTGCATTATCCATCTGCAGGAAAAATGACACGATGTGGACACGTTTACTGTTGGCCATGTATTCTCCACTATCTCTCACTCTCCGACAAATCATGGCGCAAATGTCCAATTTGTGATGAATCTATACACAAATCAGATCTTAAAAGTGTTGTTCAAGTAACTCACAATCTAGTAAACATCGGTGGTACTGTAAAACTTCGTTTAATGCGTCGTAAACGTGGCTCTTTATTGGCAATACCAGTTGGTGAAAATGAAACTTTGGATCCAGTAACATTTTTTTCTGCCTCTGAACATCCATCAAATCAAATTTACTCAAAATTATTGCTAGCTGATTCAAAGGACATCTTGGAAATGATACAACTCGAGAAATTGCAGCTTGAAATTGAATTAATGGACGATCCACAGAGTTCTGAATGCTGTTTCATTGAACAAGCGCTTAATGAACTTGCTTTGAGAGAAGAAATTGTTTTGAAGCAGGTAAATTGTCATATTTTGGTTTACATAAAAATATCGGTCTATAAAGCTAGCATGGACTTGTCCATCATGTATTTGACTTATTATTCAAGCAACAAAATTTTTTTGTGGTGCTAAATTCGTTGCTCCATTTAGAATATTGTTGATTGTTTAGATTTCGATAAATAAATAATAATATTCGTTCAAGATTGGTCTTGCCGCTGTTAACTTGACGACGCTTAAAAATATATTTAACAAAAAACAATTATTGCACGCCTCATAAGCGAAGCGTTGAGGTTGTGCTCTACTCTCGACATTTCAAAAAAAGCAGTTTTCTCGAAACTGAAATTGATTTTTTGTTATTTATATCGCACTTACAGGTTAATATGAGTACACTTATAACAAGTCGAATAATTTGTCAAGCACATAATATATATTTCAATAACAATTTTTTTGTTTAACATAAAAAATAATAACATTAAACATAATCTTTTTTGGACGTCCGCGTATGGATGGGTGTCTGTGGCAGGGAAATTGGTCGAAAAAATGATCGTACCGGAACAATTTTTTTTTTTATTATCTAAAGTAACACACGAAGGATTTTCCTAATTAATATGAGCGTTCAATTCACTGTCGTTAAATTATTATTTATAAAAAACTAATATATGACTGTGGATTTTTTTGTATATCTATCTATACATTTTATTATAGTATTTTTTTTCCTCACCTTAGAGTTATGGCGCCACTAAACCATAGCAGAGTTTTCTGTTTTTTATTATTTTGCTTTTTATATTTTATTTTAATCAATTTTATTGTGGAAAAATGAGATTATGAGGCGTGCACTTTTGGATTTTCCAAACTTTTTTTATTTTACAGGATGATAAAAAGAAAGGTTTGATCGAAGTAGAAAAAATTGAAATTCAAAAACAAGAAATTAATAACCTGAAGAAGATAAATGAAAATCAAGACGTAGAAAATCCTATTGACGGTAATTTAACTTTGGAGAGTGATAAAGATGTTGATCAAGTTTCTAATCAATCTCAAAATAACCAAAATTTATCAAAATATTTTTACTTTTATCAAGGTATGTTAATTAATTTTTTTTTCTTTAATAATTGTAAAAAAATTTTTGTTTATAGTTATTTTTTAATTAAAATTGATAATTAATTTAAATTAATAATTAATTGATTAAAATTAATCAATGAATAATTTATAATTAATTTTTGTTTATAATTATAAATGACATGCTTACAGCGGAAGATGGTCAGCATGTATATCTTCATGCAATGAATGTTCGAATGCTAGAGATGCAATATGGCAATCTAGAAAACAGCCCACATTTGATTGAAGGGAAACTTCTTGAAAGAGAATCTGGAAGCTTCACCGAAGATTTACGTAAACGAATGCGTTATCTATGTCATCTGCCATTAACATGCTCATTCGATATCGTCGAAATAGAAATGAAAACACCACTAATATCATCTGAAATACTTGGTATCTTTTATGATCAGATTGAAGGAAGAAAAACCCGTCGGCATCGCCGAGAACGTGAAGAGAAAAGGCGTGAAAAGAAAATAACTGTTGAAGAAAATAAACGAATGGGAAAATATCCAACTCCGAATGTTCAAATTGGTTCACATAAACACTTTCCAGAGTGGCATCCAGAATCACCGTCTTCAAGGTATAAATTTAATTATTCTCTTGTTAATTTTGAATTTTTTTATTATTTATTGCATCGCTAATGTTATTAATTTTTATTTTATTTATTAATTAATTTATTATTATTATTTTATTTAATAATATTTAAAATGTAATTAATTTTTTAGTTTAAATATTTCATCACCGCTGGAGTCCATAGAAGCGTTAAGTATCGCCAGCAGTCCAACTCGCAATTTATGTGAGGACGATATAATTGCAACGCAACAGTTTTCCATGGAGGAAGCACAGTGTGAAGCTGGCCCTTCTTTTGCACAGATGTTACGAAGTGAAGCCTTGATATCCAATGATTGGCCTTCTGTTAACGTGCAAAGATCATCAAAAAATTCAGAATCCGAAATTCATCAACGAAAAGTTGTTGTATCTAATGAGGACGATTATATTGACATGACAATCCAGAATCAGAGCTTGGGTGATGTCCTTGCACAGGCACTGAAACAATCGGAGCTACTTGACACTGCTAGTGGAAATGATGAGTTTGGGTCACGAAAAACTAAAAAGAAAAAGCGAGGAAAACAAACTGTGCTCTTTGCTTCTGGAATGAATCGAGACTCATAATTTATTTATTATTTTTATTTACAATTTATTGAATATTCGATACACTAATCCTTAATGCTCCTTTGATTTTTTTTTTTTATTTTTAGATACCATTGGCAATTCTTGATAATAAATTTAGATATTAAAAAACAAAAAAAAATATTTTAAAGTATACTGCTTAAGTTTTCATAAATTACATTAAAAATATACAAGGTGAATATTGGTAATTATGTTTTAAAAAAAAATATGTAAACATAAATGATTATTGAATTAATAAAGTACCATGAAAAGATATGAAGCTATGAATTATTTTGTTTTAATTAAAAATCATCTCATAATTTTATTAAATAAATATCGATTAAGTTTATCATTTAATTATAATCAACTTGATTGGATTAATTGGATCAAATTAAAAAAATTGCCAATTATATAAAGAATATTTTACATAATTTTTTATCCTAAAAATTTTTAATTTTAAATAATCTATATTATTAAGAGAATGAGAAAAATTTTGTTTCCAGGATAGTCATATGATGAAATCGGTTTTTTTAGTAAAATTTAGTGTCATTGCAAAGGTCTTGATTTGAATTTGTGCCTTTTCAGGGTTTTATATCATTCTCACCGATAGTCAATTTATTATAAACATTTAAGCTGCAATCGAAAATGCTTTATCTCTAGATACATAATTAAAAAATAACCTTGTATCTTGAGAACTATTGACATTTTTAAAGATATAAGCTCATCCCGATGTTACACTTATCGAGACCTTTCATTTGAGTACCCACATCAATTTTTCATATATTTAATATATTTACATATATATGAAAAATATATCAAAATGCATGTGGGTACTCAAATGAAAGCTCTTAATGAGTGTATCATCGAGATGAGTTTACATCTTTAAAAATGTCAATATTTAAGAAAGTACAGTGCAATTTAACATAATTAAGAAATGACCTTGTATCTTGTGAACTATTGACATTTTTAAAGATATAAGCTCATCCTGATGTCACACTCATCAAGACCTTTCATTTGAGTACCCACATCAATTTGTCACAAATTTTATATATTTACATATACATATATATGAAAAATATATGAAAATGCATGTGGGTACTCAAATGAAAGCTCCTGATGAGTGAAACATCGGGATGAGCTTATATCTTTAAAAATGTCAATATTTAAGAAAGTACGGTGCAGCAATTTAACAAAATTCATTATTTAATAAAGCAAAATTTTAATTTTTTATAGTATACAAGTCCCAGTAGTCACACAGTGACTGCAAGATTGCTAGTTTAAATTAATAATTAATTAATTAATCAATTAAAAAAGTCAATCTATATAAAAATTACTTATTAAATAATTATTCTAAAAAATCATAATTTACAAAAAGGATCAGGTAAAAAAGGACAGTAGTACAACCAAAACTCCACATGTAACTCTGTGACGTTTGTTTATTTCAACTTCAATTCTTTTGAAAACTGGATTAATTACTGGAAATATATCAACACCTGAATAGGCAGTGTAGTGACCAAATAAATACAAAAAACAATTTAAACTGTACTGTTCAAGTTATTTTATAAATAGCAAAAACCAGTTAATTAATGCAATTAGTCGACTTCTTCGATGGTGGGTCCAGATCCAGCTCCAGGTCCTCCGGGAGCGGCTCCAGCACCAGGCATGCCTCCAGGCATACCACCGGGCATACCTCCAGGCATACCACCAGCTCCCTGGTACAGCTTAGTAACAATTGGATTGCAAATATTCTCCAGTTCCTTTTGTTTGTGTTCGTACTCTTCCTTCTCAGCCAGCTGGTTAGCATCGAGCCACTTAATAATCTCATTGCATTTATCAAGAACAGTTTGCTTATCAGCAGCGCTAATCTTATCCTTGAGCTTCTCATCTTCAACCGTGCTCTTCATGTTGAAGCAATAAGACTCAAGTCCGTTCTTAGAAGAGATAGTCTCCTTCTGTTTCTCATCCTCATTCTTGTACTTCTCAGCTTCATTGACCATGCGCTCAATCTCCTCCTTGCTGAGCCGTCCCTTGTCATTGGTGATGGTGATCTTGTTCTCCTTGCCAGACATTTTGTCAGCAGCTGAGACATTGAGAATACCGTTCGCATCAATGTCAAAGGTGACCTCGATTTGCGGGACACCACGTGGCGCAGGTGGGATGCCGGAGAGCTCGAATTTTCCCAGAAGATTGTTGTCCTTGGTCATGGCACGCTCTCCCTCGTAGACTTGGATGAGCACTCCGGGTTGGTTATCAGCGTAGGTAGTGAAGGTCTGGGTCTGTTTCGTTGGAATGGTAGTGTTACGCTTTATCAGGGCCGTCATGACACCACCAGCAGTCTCGATACCAAGAGACAGTGGTGTAACATCAAGCAACAACAAATCTTGAACTGCTTCGGATTTATCACCGTGAAGAATAGCAGCCTGGACAGCTGCTCCATAAGCCACAGCTTCGTCCGGGTTGATGGACTTGTTGAGCTCCTTGCCGTTGAAGAAGTCCTGGAGGAGCTTCTGGATCTTTGGAATACGCGTTGAGCCTCCAACAAGGACAATGTCATGAATGACAGACTTGTCAATTTTAGCATCACGAAGAGACTTCTCCACTGGCTCAAGAGTGCTGCGGAATAAATCAGCACAAAGTTCCTCGAATCGAGCTCTAGTAATTGAAGTATAAAAGTCAATTCCTTCAAACAGAGAATCAATTTCAATGTTTGCTTGAGTTGAAGAAGAAAGAGTTCTCTTCGCACGCTCGCAAGCGGTACGGAGACGACGGAGAGCGCGTTTGTTGCTGGTGAGGTCCTTTTTATATTTGCGCTTGAATTCTTGCACAAAGTGGTTCACCATGCGGTTGTCAAAGTCCTCTCCTCCGAGATGAGTGTCTCCAGCGGTGGATTTCACCTCGAAGATTCCGTCCTCGATGGTCAGGATGGAGACGTCGAAGGTACCACCACCTAAATCGAAGATTAGGACGTTGCGCTCTCCGGTGGCTTTTTTGTCGAGACCGTAGGCTATTGCCGCTGCGGTGGGCTCGTTGATGATACGCAGGACGTTCAAGCCAGAGATGGTTCCGGCGTCCTTGGTTGCCTGACGTTGAGAGTCGTTAAAGTAAGCCGGTACGGTAATTACAGCGTTGCTCACGGTTTGACCAAGGTATGCTTCTGCTGTTTCCTTCATTTTTACTAGTACCATTGAGCTCACTTCCTCGGGGAAGAAAGTCTTTAATTCGCCTTTGTACTGGACTTGAATCTTTGGCTTTCCGGCGTCGCTTACGACCTCGAAGGGCCAGTGTTTCATGTCAGCTTGGACAGTTGCGTCATCGAAACGCCGCCCGATCAGTCTTTTGGCATCTAAACATAGTAAAATTTAAGAAAATTAGTCGCGAGAAATAATTATTTAGTATTTTAGTCATGCTGAAGCTAATGACTCATGAAGGATATTAATAAGTATTATCTCATTGAATTATCTATATTATTAAGAGTCTTGATTTGAATTTGTATCTTTTCAGAGTTTCATATTTTCGCAGATAGTAAATTTGTTATATAAGTATGTAGGCTGCATTCAAAAATGATCTATTTCTAGATAAATAATTGAGAAATGACCTTGTATCTCGTGAACTATTGACACTTTTAAAGATATAAGCTCATCTAGATGTTACACTCATCAAGACCTTTCATTTGAGTACTCACATCAATTTTTCATATATTTTATATATTTATATATATTACATATATGTAAATATGAAAAATATATCAAAAATGCAAGTGGGTACTCAAATGAAAGCTCTTGATGAGAGTAACATCGGGATGAGCTTATTTCTTTAAAAATTTCATTAGTTTAGAAAGTACAGTGCAATTTAACATAATTAAGAAACGACCTAGTATCTTGTGAACTATTGACATTTTTAAAGATATAAGCTCATCCCGATGTTACACTCATCAAGACCTTTCATTTGAATACCCACATCAATTTTTCATATATTTATATATATTATATATATGTATATATGAAAAATATATCAAAAATCGATGTGGGTACTCAAATGAAAGGTCTTGATGAGTGTAACACCAGGATGAGCTTATATCTTTAAAAATGTCAGTAGTTCACAAGATACAAGGTCATTTATTAATTAAATTACACTGTACTTTCTTAAATATTGACATTTTTAAAGATATAAGCTCATCTTGATATTACACTCACCAAGAGCTTTCATTTGAGTACCTACATGCATTTTCATATATTATTCATATTTACATATATGTAATATATATAAATTTATCAAAAATGCATGTGGGTACTCAAATGAAAGCTCTTGATGAGTGTAACATCAGGATGAGCTTATATCTTTAAAAACATCAATACTTAAGAAAGTACAGAGCAATTTAATGAAATTCATTATTTAATAAAGCAAAATTTTAGTTAATTATAGTTAAGAAGTTACATAGTGACTGCAAAGTTGCTAGTTTCAAATTATTAAAAATTTAATAAACTCTAAAAAGTATGAAACTGTTCCAAAGAAAGAAAAAAAGAGTTAATTAATAATTCATATGAATGAGTCAGGTATAATCTAGAAGCTTTGACGATAAAATAAATACAAAATGGCGGAATTACCAAAAATGGTGTTGTTGGGATTCATGGCGACCTGGTTTTTAGCGGCATCGCCGATAAGTCGCTCAGTGTCTGTAAATGCGACATAACTTGGGGTTGTTCGGTTTCCTTGGTCATTTGCGATGATTTCAACCTTTCCGTGTTGAAAAACTCCGACACTAAAGAAAAAAAAAAACAAAAAAAAAAAATTAATTATTTTCCGGCAAAATAATTTAAAATAGAAAAAAATTCAATTTAATCAAATCATTATAATAAAGTAATTAATTAACTTACCAGGAGTATGTAGTTCCCAAATCAATACCAACTGCGGGTGCTTTCGTCATTTTGTGTTCTGGAATTATAAAAACCACTGATTAGAAATTATAATCACTCACAAAACATAAATTTGGTGATATATTTATAAAACAATTGAACGCTGTCAATTGATTATGATTATGCAAAAACAGAAAAAACTAGTACCTTTATTTATTAATTATTAACGCAATGTAATGAAATAGATAGACAAATTACAAAATGTAACTTGGGCGAGATTTAAGTCTTTTCAATCCAACGATTCACAACGTGAGTGACTAGACAGGGAAGGAGCACTCGTATATAACAGCTCAGTAGACGATAAGCAACGCTTCTGGAACGTTCTTCCCGCTTCGCGAATGTTTTTTACCAATCGCGGGTGAATTTCTTCTCAAACTCTTCTTTGATTGGTCGAGAGGAATGCCTACTAAAGTCAAAACACATTTTTATTTAATTACTTTTGGGTTTTAAATCAATTTTAAAAATTTTATTAAACTTGGAAAAATTTTCAGAGTTCTTTTAAAAAATTAATTAAATTTTTGTTTTTTAAGTTTGTTGAAGAAATATTTTTAAAAAGTTGTTGGCTTGTCTTTTATTAGAGGGGTGAAGGGAGGAATGCGTCATGATGCGGAAACGATTTTAGTAGAAACATGGAGAAAAATCTAGCAATAACTAGGATTAGCTAAAAAAACATGACCTGGATTTTCTGGAAAATATTCCAATATATAAAATGCTTTTTTTTAATTAATAGAGAAGATTAATTTTTAAATTATTTAATTAAACACTTGAACATACAGATAACAAATTAAAAAATTCATTTTTATTTTAATTATTCAGTAAGTAATTTTTGCTATAAGGATTAAGATTCAATTAGTTGACATTGTACTAATTTTATAAATTCCTTTCAGGTTTTGCCAATTTATCATGACTCATTAGACATTTATTGATTAGTATACTAATACATATTCAAATGTTGATAAGCTGGTATAGTTATGGACTATGTTTATAAATAATAGATTATAAATTATTAAAAATTTTAATTTTATCTCTATTTTTTTTTTAATCTTTATGGTAGTAATTAATTTAAACAGAGTAAATTATCAAGACATTGAAAAATACTCTTTTTGTCTTTTGAAATAAAAGGACATAAAAAAAAAAGGAAAGGTTGCTCCAGGTGTTATTTTCGCCTTGAAATTTTTATGGCTAAAATTGCACATGATCAAAAATATTTTACTAATAAATATATTTAAAATTTATTATTATTTTTTTTTTAATGAAGATTAAAAAAATTTTTTAGATGATTTTTGGAGAAAAAATTGAGATTAATTTTGATTATCTAAAAAATTTTGGTGATTAATTGTTTGATTAATAAATTAGAAATTAATTCATTTATTTTTTTGATAAAATATAAATATAAAATAGCGAAGTTTCTAACAATAAGAAATTTGTACGTTGACAAAAGAATTGTTAGACATAAAGTTGTAATATTGATTTTCTCATATACATTCTCTAAATATGTATACATATTTTCATATTGCATACTTTAGTGTAAAAGAACTAAACGTTGTACACACAATAAAACCATTGTTAACTTTACCGGCTCAGCGACAGTAGATCGTAGGGACATAAATGAGTTCCACATATATATAGGTACAATTTTTCAGGTGCAAAAGTATATCAATGATTTTTTAGCAGTATGTGTGTATTCAGTCAAGTTTACTCAAGTTTCTGGTATGATCTCTCTCTCTCTCTCTCTTCCCCTTATGTAGCTCCACACTTTTTATAAATTAATCATATTTTTATATAGATTAACTTAATGTTTATTTTTTTTTTTTTCAGGTAGATATTTTCGCTTTGCAATTTCAATTTGAAGGCTCATAATTTTTATAAAAATTAAATTACCAGATTTAATAATTTTTTTAATAAATAAATTATGGCAAAAAAAAATTGACGACAAATTTAAAAAAATTAAAACTGCAATTTATTTAAAAATAATTCAGAACTAATTTATTTTAAAAAAAAAAATAGTCAAGATTGTAAAATGTTAAAAAAATCCTACTGAATTTGTTTTTTATTTTATTTTGCTGAAAACAGAAACGAAATTTAAAAATTATAAACAAACCTATGAAAAAAATCAAGAAGAAAAAAATGTGAAGCTATATTAATTATGGATAATAATTATAGCTTATCTTCAAAAATATTTTTAAGTAATTCTATGAGCAAGAATAACAGAATATGTGGACAGGTATGATAAAAAATTCATGAGTAAGGTAAAAAATTAATTTGACACTTTTTTTTAATTCCCCCTCAACGCAATTTGATAAAGACCTAAAGCCTACTTTTCATGTTGTTGTGTACATTTAAACGCGTTCCCGCGAATACACCGAGCGTTGTTTATTAAAAAATTTTTTTATGTAATATATTTATAATATATAATTCCATTTAGTTTTAATATTATTATTACAATTAATAATATCAACAATTATTTATATTTAGATAATTATGGCGTCTTCTGCGGATATTGCTACGGTAAGAAATTATTTTTAATAAATTATTAAACTAACCTCAAAATTGTTTTTTAGATTTTAAACCATAAATTTATAAAAAATTAAGATTAATTATAGAACATTGTGATGAATAATAATAAAAACTTTCTTTTTTTTTTTTTTTCAGGCGCGGATGCGAGCATATTTAAATTTACCATTATTAGAACGTTGTAAAGAATTGGCAGTGTTTATAGTTGAATCTAGCACAACAGAATTGCAGCATGTTTTTCCTATTCTTATTGATTCAATTTTTGGCATAACAAATAATGTAGGATGGGGATTGCATAATATAACTTCAAGAAAACATCCTTATGAATATGAAACTCTCTGCAATTTTTTCGGTCCTCAAGGACCTATTTTTTCCTTGTGCTACAAACTTTTGCCAGATTGTTATTTAAAATACAACTTTCCGATTTCATATCTTCCCGTAAGTAATTAATCATGAAAATTAATTTAGCAGACATTTAACAATTTTTAGAATTTTTCTAACAAATAAATTGTGGAAAAAAAAAATTAGAAAAAAAAATTAACATGTAGAAATTAAAAAAAAATAAAATTGCAATTTTTTAGAATTAATTTAATTGTTAAATAAAATTCAAAATTGGTCAAGTGACAGCTAACTTCAATGTCATTATTTAATCAATCAATTAATTTTTATTTCACTTACATACAATATTTTTTTATGGCATTAAAACCATTTTTTAATTTTTTTTAACAAATAGATTTTTTCCCAAAAATTATTTTTAAAAAATTGCATTTCTTATTTTTTTAAATTTCCACATGTCAATTTTTTTTTCTAATTATTTTTTACCATAATTAACTTGCTAAAAAATTCTTAATATGAAATATCTACTAAATTAATTTTCATATTTTTTTTTTTTATAAATACTAAAAATAGTCGACGTTTTTAATTTTTTTTCAATAATTAAATTAAAAAAAAAAATATTTTAAATTTAGCACTTACAATTTTTCAAGTTTTTTACAAATGAAATTTTTTTTTTTTATTTTTCTATAATAATTTTTTCACTAAAAATTTTTAAATCTCGGCTAATTTAATTTTCATTTTTTTTTGTTCCATACAAATTTAAATTAAAAATTGCACAATAACTAAAAGATTTTATTAATAATTAAAAAATAAACCAAACTAAATATTATTTTTCATAATAAAAAATTATTCCAGACAAAAATAAAGTTACTGGTCGAAGAAGGAATAATTCCTCCGTTTTACCAAGACAAACTAAAAGACAATCCAACGACAAGATGTCCTACTGCTCTATTATTAAATCCTTTTGAGTACTACATCTTCCACTTTGCCTTCCACTTAACAAATCCATGGCTGCAACTCAACCAGAGTGAGGATGTTTGGATGAATTGGGAAACAGTTTATGTTCAGCTAGCTCACTTATATTTATACCATTTCCTACCTCAAGACGATTCTCCAGTGCTGCCCATAATTGGGCCGTATGTACGAACGACTCCTCCACGAAAATTAATGCAGTCGCCAGATTTAAAAAGACTGCAAACTCCTCGACTTCTGAGGACTTCTATCTTATCTCCAGTCTCATCTCCACCTTCAGGAGTTCCTCAGCAGCAATGCTTGCCGCAAGTTTGGCGGAGTGAGACTGTTGTTCAAGTATTTTTAGATTTCTGGTTGGAATATACAGAAGAAGACAAGCTGATTTCTCAATTAAGTCCTTCTTTATCTTCATCTTTACCGAGGAGAAACAGCATTCATTCTGGAGAGCACATTCGCTTGGTTCGTGCGTTTATAAAAACATTGCACGGATTTTCAAACAGTATAACAGGTAGCAAAAGTGCAATGGATGAATTGAAAAGGATAATAGTACCCTCGATACAAGGAAAAATTTACATATTTTTAAGGCAAGCTATTTTTCACTGGCCACTAGATAGTTCCTTCAGACTTATTCTAGAAGCTTGGCTCAGCTTCATCCAACCTTGGAGGTATATTCCAGAGTTTAGAATTACGAAAAGTACAACTGCTGAAGAAGACAGGGGGAAAATTTCTGATCCGTCTTATTGGATGCCGTTTGTTGCTAATAATTTGCTAGCTTATACTGGTATTTTTCAGCAACTATTACCGAGATTTATGCGCACTGATCTGGTAGCTCCGAAAAATGCTTTGATGCTCTTTAGAGTTACCAAAGTATTTTCTCAGCCACATCTGGCGTTTATGTTAGCTGAAGCTGAAGGTTGTATTAATGATTCAAATATTAGTCGAGGTAAATTATCTTCAAGTCAGTGGAATAATATTATTAGGCAACAAATTGTTGAACTGGAAGGTCCTTCGTATCAATATGTTCCAATGTTTTCCGCTGCTTCATCAGCTCAGGTAATAATAATATATTCTCTGTTTCAAATTTATTTATTTATCTGGTAAAGAATTCTATCGAGGTGCAAAGACACCTGTTTATAGAACCAGTACAAAAATATCAATTTTACAATATATATACTTTTTACAAAATTTTTGTTGATAATACAATGCAAAAAGATAATAAGTACAAAAAGTAATAAATTTATAAAGAAGGAAATACAAAATTATAAATAATTATCATAAAAAGAAATATCCAATCAAATACCCGCATTTTCCATTACATTTTTTAAGCATGTTAACCATTAAGGTTTCTTATCCAGTAACTTAACTTTTTTTTTAACAATTTTTTACTACAGTCTATAGTTTTCATATCAGCAGGGAGTTTGTTATAATATTTAATTGCTACATAATAAGCACTCTGAGTACTAATAGTTTTGTTTATTTTTGGTAGAATTAGCAGCTTAGATCTTGTATTTGTACATTTTTCATAGAATAGGTTTTTACATTCTTGATAGTAGTAGGTTAATGCATTTATTATAAATGAGTCTCTAATTGTCAAGGGGATATTGTTGTAATTATTTTTACATAGCTTTTTAATTATTTTATGTTGAAGAGATGTGACAGGTTTAATCGAATTGTTATAGGCTTCTCCCCATGCAACAATGCCATAGTTTATTATGCTTTCAAACAGTCCATGATAAATAGTTTTTAAAATAGAAGAATTAAGTACCTGGCTAAGCTTGTAAAAAAGGAAAGTGAAATAGTTAAGCTTTTTAGATAATTCATAGGCATGTTTGTCCCACTTCAAGTGTTTATCAAAATATACCCCTAAATATTTACAATTATCAACTCTTGTCAGAGGCTTACCATTTATTTGTAAATCAAACTTATTTGGGATACTGTCTATGTAGCTTCCAAAGGTAATAAAGGTAGATTTTTCCACATTAAGAGATAGTTGGTTTTCCCTGAGCCATATATCTATTTTATTAAGCCAATCAGTTAATTTATATTGGACTTCATTCCAGCTATTTCCAGTACAAGAAATAGCTGTGTCATCAGCATAGGAAACTATAGCATTGCTTGGTATCACTTTAAAAATATCATTTATATATAATAAAAACAGCAAAGGCCCAAAAATGATTTATAATAATAAAGTTAGCCGATATTTTTTATTTTTTTATTTTGCTTAATGTGTTAAATTAGAACTAAATAATATTTTTTTCAATTGCACTTACAGTTTTTCAAATTTTCTACAAATGAAATTAAAAAAAAAATTTTTTTATAATAATTTTTTCAATAAAAAAAATTCTAAAAATTTTTAGATGTCAGCTAACTTTGTCATAAATTATTTAAATAAGCAGTTAAAATATCTATTGTCTTCAATGCAGTCTATTTTATTTATCATTACAAACACAGCTTTAAAGACTTATTAGTATGTAAAGAAAAATGTAGAGAACAGTCTTCAAGTCATACATTGCAATAAATATAATAAATATATTTTCAGTTTAATTAAAAATAATTATTTAATTTTTGTTTTAGATTACAAAACTTTTGAGTACAATCAAACAAGCTTATCTCACAGCAATTAGTATAATTGAAGCTTTAGAGAAAAGACGGAGAGAAAGGAAGTTTTTTAAATCTTTGTGGGAATTTTTCAACGGTGATGAATGTACTGATGATGATATTGGTTTGATTGAAAGGAAACGAGTACCAGGATTATTATCTAACGCACAACAACAATTAATTGATATATTTGAAGTAATGGTTTAGACTTTGAGTTATTAATTTAATTATTATTATTATTATTGTTATTTTTTAATTATTTATTTAACGTCGCTTTAACCATTTGGTCCTAGGCGACGGATTAATTATAATTATTAATTGTCATTATTAATAATATTAATTTTAATTTAGTTAGGAGATATACCCGAAGCTTGCATCGCAGCTGATAAAGAATATCATGATAGTATTTTATTTACATCTTTCTGTCATCAATCACACGTAAGTATTAATATTAATTCAATGCATATTTAATAATAATAGTAAAATTAGCCAACATTTTTTATTCTTTTGATTTTGTTTAATTTTATTATTATTAAATTAAAACTAAAAAATACTTTTTAAAAATTGCACTTACAGTTTTTCAAATTTCTTACAAATAAAAATTTTTTTTTTATTTTTCTGTAATAATTTTTTCAATAAAAAAAATTCTAAAAATTTTTAAATCTCGGCTAATTTAATTTTCATATATATTCATGAACAAATTATAACTATTGTCATTTTTAACTCTATTTAATTTAATAGATGAATTCCAGCACGGATTCTAATCGACCGGGAGAGTTTGTACTGGTTCGAAACGCACATCAAAATTGCAAATGTATGGAATACATGGGAGACCCGGAATTAAAACCTGTACAATCTAACGAATCTGCATTTCTTGTACGCTTATTGTATAATTTTTGTCAATTTATTAACAATAAGGTATGATACATTTTTTTTTAAACACTTATTACATGTGCAGTGTCTATGAATCTTATAAAAAATTTAATTATTTACAGTACGAAGCAAAGATAATATCAATGTACAATAGGGATGATTTTATTGGACGAATCGCAAGAAAAATTCTTCAACCACCAACAACAGTCATCCAATTACCAAAACGCACACCAGCAGGATTTTTATCAAGAGAAGAACATCGTCTTCCACCGAGACTGTCTTTAAGATTCATCGCTAGACATGATTTCAGTGTACTGATGATTTTTGGTGCCTTCATATTTTGTCTCATGGGCTTTAGTGTCCCTTTTTTTGTATGCTTTTCGTGGTTTTTGTGGGTAGTTTATATACTGATCGGAGCAGCTTGTGAGCCTTGGGTTTCTAGATTTCATAATGATAGACTGAGGAGACCCAGTTTGTCAAATTTTACTACAAACTAATTGTAATTTTTTATAATAATAGGCAACTGTTAAACTATAGCTTGATTTGATCAACTATTTTGTATTTTTTTTTATAATTGCATATAAAGATACAAATTTTGAAGTCATTTTTTATGTTTTTTACAATGATACTTAAATTAACAGTCATCGGTCAATTTTTTTAATTTTTATGACAAATCAATGATTAAAAAAAAATTTTATTTGTAATTTTTTCATCAAAATTTTTTCATAATTATAAACTATCAATTAGTGATTATCAATTATCAATTACTAAAAATTTTTTCTCTTCCCTCAAATCTTTTAAGGGGGTATTTTCTTTTCTGATGCAATTTATTGAATAAAAACATTAACTAAACATTTTACACATGAAAATGTAACATATTGTTGTAAATTGCCGAGGGCATTTTTTTACGAATATATAAATAATAATTTAGTTGTTATAAAAGTCCAAAAAATTGATAGATATCTGTTAATTTAAGTATCATCTACAAGTCTTCTTTTTATACAAAAAATATCAGACTTTAATAATTAATTAGCCATAATGTTAATAATATAATAATAATAATTTGTAATTGGTATGTGTTTAGTGTTGGCTTATACATGGTCAACATTATCAAAAACTTTTTTTTCCAGTAATAATAAAATTAATTTAATTTTCAATGTTAGTTTTTAGACTCTTAATTTCAATTAAAAAAATATATTTTGCTAAAACAAAAAATTTTAACTATATCCGACAATAAATTTATAAATTATGAATTTAATTAATGACACTGAAATTAGCAGACACTTGACAATTTTTTTTTGTTTATCTTAAAAAATAAACTAAGTTTAAAAAAATTGCATTTATAATTTTTTAGAGCTTTTGAAGATGAAATTTTTTAAATAAATTTTTCTTGATATTAATAATGTTAAAAAAATTCTAAAAATCATCAAATATCTCTCAATTTCAGTATTGTAATTATAGTGATTAATTGAAAAAATTTTTTATAAAGTAAGTAAATTTTTTTACAGAAAAATTTTTTTTTTAATTTTTTGGAAAAGAAAATAGATCAATAATATAATTTTTGTAATTGATTAGATAAAAATATGCGTCGGTAAAATAAAAATCTTCTAATGATTTTTCCTATTTATAGAAATTGTATATCTTATGCCCACGGGGTCTTTTCCGGTGTCATATTGCTTTCAGAGTCGGTGTTAGAAGGTTCTTGAAAGATATAGAACATAACTATACCCTGTTAATACAAATAAAGTTAAATTTATTGAAGATAAAGAATATATAAAAATAATTAATAAACCGCTCTAGCAATATTCAATGGCCTTATCTAAAAATCTATTTGGAATTTCAAGTTAGTATAAAATAATTTCATTCATAACCTCATTATATTATCCGTAGTCGGATTATAAATGTTTGTTCTTTACTAATCTGGTTTATTTATCAAAATTTAATTAATTATTTGTGTTTTTCAGAATTAGCGCTGACTTTATCTCGCCGATTGGTTCATAATATTGTTGATACTACCAAGCCAAAAGAAGGAATTTTTCCAAATGGACCCTTAGACGAAGATCTTGTAAGTTGATTATCATTATGAAATTTATTCAAAAAAATAAGCTATACTCATAACTCATTTTTCAACATGGCGTAGGTGTTCACATTCTAAAATTATTTTGAGATGTTCACCCCGAGTAGATTCAATGATCTTGAATTATCGGAGCATCGACTTATGTCGGAGCTTAATAATTATAAACATGTGCGCTTGTTGAAAATAAAACAACAATTATTACATTAAAGTTAAATGATACTAAAGTTTTTAATTTTTTCTCATTAATTAAAAAATATTTTTTTAAAATTACACAAAGTTTTTCATGTTTTTTACACATAAAATTTTTTTAATAATTTTTTCAATAAAATAAACTAGCAACCTTGTAGTAACTATTTGATTGGCGTGACTTGTGAACTAAAAAAAAATTAAAACTTTGCTTTATTAAATAATGAATTTTGTTAAATTGCACTGTACTTTCTAAAATATTGACATTTTTAAAGATATAAGCTTGATCTGATGTTACACTCGTCAAGACCTTTCATTTGAGTACCCACATCAATTTTTCATATATTTATATATTATATATATATATGTATATATGAAAAATATATCAAAAATCGATGTGGGTACTCAAATGAAAGGTCTTGATGAGTGTAACATCAGGATGAGCTTATATCTTTAAAAATGTCAGTAGTTCACAAGATACAAGGTCATTTATTAATTAAATTACACTGTACTTTCTTAAATATTGACATTTTTAAAGATATAAGCTCATCTTGATGTTACACTCACCAAGAGCTTTCATTTGAGTACCCACCTGCATTTTGATATATTTTTCATATACTCACCAAGAGCTTTCATTTGAGTACCCACATGCATTTTGATATATTTTTCATATATACATATATGTAATATATATAAATATATGAAAAATTGATGTGGGTACTCAAATGAAAGGTCTTGACGAGTGTAACATCAGACCAAGCTTATATCTTTAAAAATATCAATAGTTTATCGTTTCTTAATTATGTATCTAGAGATAGAGCATCTTTGAATGCAGCCTAAATATTTATTATCATAAATTTACTATTAATAAGAATGATATAAAACCTTGAAAAAGCATATCTCCAGGTCAAGAATTTTTTAATGATACCAAATTTAACGATAAAAACCTATTTTATCATATAAATACACTGGCCACAAAATTTTTCTTATTCTCAATAATATAGATTATAAAAATTTTTAGATATCAACTAACTTAACTTTCATTAAAGTTAGCAGTCTTGACCATTTTTTTTGCCATAATTTATTTGTTAAAAAAAAATTCTTAATAATTATCAAACATTTGCTGAATTTATTTTCATACAAAAATTACTTAAAATAATATATTTACTTTTTGTTTCAGCCGATTAAAATGGAAGCAAATCCATTTGAAAAGGAGAAAAAGCAATGTGTTCTGTGTCGTTTAAACGTAACTCCTGACTGGAAAAACGTGCGGTTGTTGTCACAATTCCAAAGTGCTTACACTGGTAGAATTTACGGACGCCATATAACTGGTTTATGCAAGCACAAGCAAGAACTAGTTGAACGTGAAATTCTTAAAGCTCAAAACAGTGGTTTTATGCCCTTTTACATGAAAGAGCCAAACTATTTGCATGATCCAATGCTTTTTGACCCAGATCATCCATTTAGACCTCACAAATATTAATGAAAAAAGACATTTTATAACATAACTGTATCTTCATTAAATCATGTGTTTTTTTTCTAAGCTAGATACAAATAAAAATAATTCACATCAATTCAAAGCTTTTATTTATTTCAACATAAAAAAATAAATTATCCTTAATTTATTATTTCAATAAATATATTTATCTTTAAGTATTAATTAATAATCTTCATTTGGAAACTTTACAATATGCTCAGGAATGCCTAACATTTTTAATATTTCATCCATTTCTAAAGTTTTTCCATTGTCCAGTTTCTCTGAACAATCTTTTTGGTACTGGATAAGAGCTTGCTGACAAGCTTCTCTCCATTTTTCAATATCTATGTGAAGATCTTCTTGATTATTCTAAAAAAAAAAATTGAAATTAATTTAGGAGATTTTTGACAATTTTAAGAATATTTTTAACAAATAAATAATGTATTTATTTATTTATTTTTATACTTTATTATTAATAATACAAAAATTTTGAAAGTAATTTATTTAAAAAAATTAAAAATGTAATTTTTTAAAAATTATTTTTCGAAACAAATTTGTTAAAAAAAATCAATTAATTACAAACTTGCAAAAATAAATAATTGTTATATTTATAACGCTGAAATTAGCAGATACTTGATAATTTTTTTATTTTTCTTGGAAAATAAACTAATTTTAGAAATTTATCTTAAAAAAAAAATGCATTTATAATTTTTTAGAGCTTCTAAATATGGAATTTTTAAAATAAATTTTTTTATGATAATTTATTTGTTAAATAATTCTAAAAATTATCATATATATTTTTATTAAAATTTCATTTATATTTTTACCTTTTTTCGATAGGCTAATTTCGTTTTAAGGCTTTCAATCTCCATTTTCTTAATTCTAATTCTGCTTTTAACTGCTAGAAGATCACCATAATTTGGTTCTGAATCTTGAAGATTTTTTTTCAGACTGTAAATATTTTCCGATTCACTTACATCAATTTTGCGGCGTTTTATAATCTCTCGTGATGGTGTTAAAAGTTTTCTATAAATAAGTTACAAAAAAAAAAAATCATTTAAAGCAGTATGAATTAATGCTATAATAATAATAATTATAATAATATTTACGCATTAGGAGATGGTGATGGTGATAGAAGTCTTTTCAAATCATTCTTGACATTCTTGACTGGAGTAATATCATTTCTCATTGGCGAACAAAAAGGTTTGTTTGCTAAATAAGAATTTCTCAGTGGAGTACGCATTAAATCAGGATTGTTATTATTCATTTTTTTTTTTTAATTAATTAACTGACTAATACACAATCTTATATCTAGGGTTAGAAGATAAATTAGACAACATTTGAAATTTAATTAATTATTTTTAACTTCTGATTACATTATTAAATGTTATTTTATCTAATTCTATTTTTTTTTTTTTAATAATAATGTAATTTTTCATGTAATTTATAAAAGTAATTTGATAAACAGTTGATTAACAAACCAACATGTGTGCACTAACACTCTTGTGCTCTCTATTATGATTTTTTAGTGTTTATCTTTTTAAGTTACCAACAGATAATAAAAAATTATGGGGGTCATCTGAGTGATCCGAACCAATGTAATAATTGTAAAGAAATTAAAAAAATAACTTGCTCTCTAACAAGTTATATACATACATTTAATACTTCATACATAACACTTAATGTATGTCAAATAATAGTAAATTCTATATAATAAAATACACACATTAAAACATTTAGATATCATATTTATGAAAAAAATTAAACTGTTACCCATGAAACATTACAAAAGAACGACAATTGATCTGTCTTCTAAGTCTGCTAAGTCTTCTAAGAGTCATAAGTAAGAAATTAGTTGTCAAAAAGATGGCTGCAATAAATGATAGCGGGAAAAACCCAGTAAGATTTAAAATGAGCGTGTTCAGCCGAACTAAGTCCTGAGTAAACTTAGTTAGCCTAAGTATAGTCAAAGCATTCCCTGCTATACATATATCTATCTACTATACTATACATATCTTACTAAGTTTACTCAGGACTTAGTTCGGCTGAACACGCTCAATACCTATTATGACTCATACTTTGTATACTGATAAGCACAGTACTTTTTTATGAAAATTAAGCTTTCCGAAATCTAAAAATTTTTATAATTTTTTTTTATTAAAAAAAAAACCACTACAAAATAATAAAAAAAAAATTCATTTGTAAAAAACTTAAAAAACTGTCAGTGCAATAAATTTTGAGAAAGTGTATAAATAAATAATAGTTTAAGTTGAAACAAATAAAAAACAGTTTGATTTTAATATTTTATATAATTAACAAAAAATTACTTTATAAAGAATAATAAATAATTTCCCATTAAATAAGCGATTTTTTGATTTTATTTTAGTAATCAATATTTGTATATTTTAATAAATAAAAACAATAAATATTTTCAAGAATAATTATTCTTATTTAGAATAAAAAGGTTGTGTTTGAATTTAGATTATATAATTTAAATTTCCTTCACCGCCAGTTACCTAAAAAAATTTACCTTACCGACAACTAATTTCTTACTTATGAATTAGAAGTATTAGAAGACAGATCAATTGTCGTTCTTTTGTAATGTTTCATGGGTTACAGTTTAATTTTTTTCATAAATATGATATTTAAATGTTTTAATGTGTGTATTTTATTATATAGAATTTACTATTATTTGACATATATTAAGTGTTATGTATGAAGTATTAAATGTATATAACTTGTTAGAGAGCAAGTTACTTTTTGAATTCCTTTACAATAATTACATTGGCTACATTTCCGTTCGGATCACTCAGATGACCCCGTTACCAACAGATAATAAAAAATTATGGAGGCTAGTTTTTCAATTCAAAATTTACAACGCACCGTAATCAATTTGGCGCCGAATATTAATTTTTTTTCAAAAACTAAATCCCAAAAAATTGCTCTTTCGATATAAACAATTGCTCCGCTGCTATAATTAATAATTAATTAATTAATCGTAATTAAAAAATCAAAATTTAATTCCCGATTATCTCTAATTGTGAGGACTTATTTTAATTGTAATAAGTGCCAAAAAATTGCTCATCCTTTTTTCTATTGGGAATGATAGTTATTTTGTGCGTAAAATCGTTTTTAATTAATCAATGGGATCCTGTTCTCCAATCGAGCATTCCAAATACAAGCTGTAATTTTTTTTTCTTTTTTTTATAATGTATTAAGCTGTATCTTTGAGGCATCTGTACCTGTTAATAAAAAGCAAACCAGTGCAATTAATACTTAATATAAGATAGATAACCGTCTGGATGTTTATAAGATTAGTAAATATTCCAAGTGCTTCTCTAAACTTTATCTGTCAAACATTGTATAAACTGGAGCATAATATTTATTCTTCCTAGTTAATTAATTAGTGACTTATCATAATATAACTCTTAATTTAAACATATTGTATCAAATTATATGTAATATGGAACCCGATTAATGGCTTTGCTGTAGGGTTCATTAAACTTATAAAAATAAAATAAAAAAAAAAAATAAAAATATGTATCAACGGAACCTACACAAAATTTGAATTATAAATTTTCAAAGTTTTGTAGGGATTGGTGTTCGCGGGTTTTACAATTACCAATATTTAAATTATCTAAATATTATATACTTATTTAATATAAAATTATGACAATTGTTTTATCTTATAAATATTACATTGTGTTAATTAATTAAATTAAATTAAATTAATTCATCTAAATATTCTTAAAACAATAAAAGCTTGGATAATAATTAAATTAAAATTTAAACAAGTTTAAAACAAATAACTAAAATAAATTCTAATTAAAACACTTGAAAAATTTGAAGAAAAAAGCTTAAAATATATTATGAATAAATAATAATAAATTATAAGATTATTTTTTTTTGAGCGTTAATTTTTCTACGAAATGGATTAAAATTATACATCGAAGATGAGTCACTGATATTATCTTTACCAGCGTCACCATTAAAAGTCTTTTCTAAGCTTTTAGTATTATTGCAATTAGTATTAGTATTATTACTGCTCTTAACATTATTTAATCCTTTATTATGATTTTCTTTATTAATTGCAAAGGCTTCTTTGATCGTAGATTGCCTTAAAGTATTTTTTGGAGTAGAATTAACTTGATTATTTATTTTATATAAATTGTTTTTTGTCAATTGAACTCGACTTTTTGGAACTGGACCTTGATTCGGAGTAACTATTTTTTGCCTGAAAATTAAATCGGTATCAAAAATTTTTTTTTTTAATAATAATAAATTAAAAATCAAATACTTACGGATAAATTTTAGATTTAGTGTTCGTAGAACTTTGAATTCCATTAACACCATTCAATTTACTACTATTATTATTATCAATTTTTATTTTTTGAATTGGTAGTTGACCATATCGCTTCCCATTTTTAAAATCAAATTGGTTATCATAACCAACTAGCACTGGAGGAGTTGGAATTTTAATATTAGTTGATGGAATTTTTCTAATGAAAGCTTTTCTTGTTTCATTTAAATATTCACTACAAAAAAAAAAAAAATTATCCATTAAATTTTTTTATTTCTCAAATCAATAATAAAATAAAATACCTGTATTCAAACAAATCATTAGAACAATCCAAGCATTTTTTTTCTCGTTTTAAAATATCAGACATTATAGAATCCCAATCATCTTTATTCCATTCTCTAGCTCCAAGTTTTATTTTTTTAGCACTATTTTCAACACCCGCGTCACATTTTCTTTTATTATGATTATTTTTGTTGACATCTCCATTTGAATGCTCATTAACTAAAAGGTCTATTTTTTCTAATTCTTTGTCAGATAAAAATTCATTATCAACCCAAAGATTATCTTGTTGACTGGATCCGTTAGCTAAATCAGTCTGAGTTTCTTTATCACTCAAAAATAATTTTTTATCATTAACAACAGCTGGATCATTTTTGTGAAGTGGATCGTTTTTTTGTGAAGTGACAGCTCTAGTTTTTTTTACATTGGAATCTTCTAAGTTTTGCTCCAGGATTGTCAATGCTTTATCAACTCCTGTGCAAACAAAACTAGGAGAATAATTGAATAACGGATTGTCTACAATAACAGCATCATTATTATCATTAATAATGACTTGATGGTTCGTCTGTTCTAAATTAGTAATATCATCAGTAAGTTTCAAATCATTTTGCTCCAAACTTATCCTTGATAAAGACCGAGTAGCTTTTTGGAGTTCTTTACAGTTGTCAATATCATCTAATGAGTGAGAATAAATATTTTCATCAAAATGAATTGATTTTTCTTGTTTCACTGCAACACTATTAAAATTTTGATCGTCAATCTCTAATTTACATGTTGTACATAAGCTTTCATTGTCAACGAACTCAAAATATTCTTGATCTTCTTCTAATAATTTATCAAACGCTGTTTTAATATTATTCATTTTTTCTCCAATATTCATTTTTATTTTGAAATTAAATAATAAATGTAATTATTTTTTATCTTTAATAATATAAAAAATTTAACACCTGTCAAGAAACTACTTTTGGATTATTAAAATCAAAAAAACAAAATGGCTTCCGTTGTTCCGTTAATAAAAAAATCAAAAAGCTAATTTCATGTCATTGAAAAATTTGCGGCAATTTTTAAACTAATTATTTTCTCAAAAGTAAATTAATCAGTATTTTAAATCTCGCGCTAATATTACGCTGCGTCAAAGCTCTCCGCGCATCAATTCTTGTCTGTATGTAGAAGTAAATTGATGAAAATTCTGTTTTCATTATATAAATGGTGACCAGTGTACAATGTTAATTTGTTATTACTTATAACACTGTATAATATATAATTAGCAACAATTATTGTGAAATACATATATATATATATATATATATAAGTAACTATTGATTGTCATGAAATAAATTATAAAAATTATGGCTGATGAAAGAAATTTTCGTTCCTCATATTATGAAAAAGTGAGTATTATTTTATTTTTTTAATTTTATAAAATAAATATCAAAGAGGTTAAAAGTCATTGTTTAAAAATAACATTTATTAAATTAATTAATACAAAAGTCAGCTGACAGCTGTCAATTTTTTTTAATTTTTATAACAAATCAATGACAATAAAAAAATGGAAATTAATTTAACAGATATTTGATAATAATATTAAGAATTTTTCTAACAAATAAATTATGGCAAAAAAAAATTAACATGTAGAAATTTTAATGAAAATAAAGTTAGCCGACATTTAAAAGTTTTTAGAATTTTTTTTTATTTAAAAAATGATTACAAAAAAATAAAAAAAAAATTTCACTTGCAAAAAACTTTAAAAACTGTAAGTGCAATTTTAAAAAAATATTTTTTTGTTCTAATTTAATAATTAAAAAATTAAAAACGTTGGCTAACTTTAGTATCATAAATTTTAATAAATAAAAAATGAAATTTTTTAAAAATAATTTTTCAGAACAAATTTTTTTGTTAAATAAAATTAAAAAATGGTCATGACTGCTAATTTTAATGTGATTAAAAAAATGCTTTTATTTTCACACCTGGAATTTTTTTATTAAATTTTTTTCATAAGAATTTCATTGCTATAAAAAATTCTAAAAAAATTTCTAATATCTGTCAACTTGAGTGTCATGACAGTTTAATTAATTTATTTTATTTTACAGGTAGGATTTCGCAGCGTTGAAGAGAAAAAGTCATTAGAAATTTTATTAAAAGAACAACCATTTGATAAAGCAAAGTTGAAACAATTTTGTCTCCGATTCACAGTACCTGTAATCCACAGAAATTTTTTATGGAAAATATTGTTAGATATTACACCAATTTATACAGAAAGTCATGATTTTGTGGCTATGCAAAGAAAAAAAGAATTTCATGACTTGGAAAAGGCATTGAGAGTTACTAAAATAGTTGATGAAAATTCTAAATCTCATCAAACATTACTTATCATGTGGTTGTTGAGAAAGAGGCGAGCTAAGTTGGATATAAACTCTCAGTTAGAGTCCTCATTGTTTAGGTAAAGTATAGAAGTAGTTTTAAATAATAATAATAATAAATATAATTTATTAAATTAATTATTTTAATATATGATATTTTATTTAGAGCAATGAGTAGAATGGCTGAAAGTCTCTGGCATATCATGGATGGCGACCAAGAGTATGAAAAAAAAATAGATATTTATTGGCTGCTAAGTGGATTTTTGGATCATGTTGATAAATTTTATAATGACGTTGGAAGATTAATAGAGTGTACTTTGGCGCTTCTAGAAAAAGAAGATTCAGATCTTTATGAACATTTGTTACAGTTTGAAGTATTTAATAATATTCCTTTTGATCGATGGTTTTGTTCCTGTTTTGCTGAAACTATTTGTGACGGATCTCTCCCAAAGTATGATCAATTATTATGATACTAAAGTTAGCCGACGTTCTTAATTTTTTTTATTTTTTTCCATTAATTAAATTAGAACTAAAAAATATTTTTTAAAAATTGCACTTAGAATTTTTTAAGTTTTTTACAAATAGAAATTTTTTTTTATTAATATTTAAAATATTTAAATGACTAAACAGATAGACATTGTTGAATTTTTATTTTACATTATTAATTTATTAATTTGAATGGTATTTGAGAGAAATCTAAACAAGTTGTTAATATTGTAATTTAAAAAAATGTTTGAGATTATGAATATGCTGTTTTACTCTATTACATCTATTGACATTGTAAAAACATATGATTTTTCTGATGAAGCTGAAATAAATCAGCGAAAGTTGCAATTCCCAAGATTTAGTCATTTAAATATTTTTTAAAATTTTTTTTCTAACAATTTTTTCAATTAAAAAAATTCTAAAAATTTTTAGATGTCGGGTAACTTGATTTTCATTGAATTATTTACTCTAAAATAAATACATCAATATATTTTTAAATAACTACTTAATATTTTTTAGAATTTGGGATAAAATAGCAGTTGGAGCTTATAAAATTCTTGCATTTGTTGCTGCTGTTATTTTTATAACTCTTCGACGATTCCTGTTGAATTGTGATAGCTTAGACTGTGTATTGGACACTATTTCACACGTAAGTTCCAAGAAAAATTTTTGCAAAATGTTTAACATAATAAAAAAAAAAATTTTTTTTAGATAAACGAGGAGACGTCTGAAATGATAGTCAACAAAGCGATAGAGCTTTGGCAACAAAGCGGTTCTGCTCTTGTGACAATGTCACCAAATACAAACACTATAAATTTAACATAAAATACATGACGTATCAATTATAAAAAAAAAATACCTGATAAAATTTTTTTCTACTAATATTTTGTAAATAATAAATATTACCTGCAGAAAAACTAACTTAAAAAAAAAAAAAAAAAAAAAAAAAAAAAAAAAGCAAAATTTTTATAAAAAAAAATGAATAATAAAAACAATTTTACTGTTCCTTTATCTTAAAAATAATTTTTTATTGATGCAGTCATACATCATACATATACAATTTTTTTTCTCAATGATAAATCGAGCTCTAATTTTATTAAACAGTTATGCATTCATATCTTCTGTCCTTACTTATAATGCTTTAGTTTTTTTTTTTTTTTTTCTTGTATCACTTTAATTACGTCTCACTCATTGAACTTTTTTTTTTTCAACTCATGAATTTTATTTTATTATTTTCGTATGTATCAATTTAATACGTAATTACAGTACAATTACGTGAATTAACTTGCGTAAAAACATAAATTATCGATATTTGTATTTTATTTTATAAATCTTATGATACATAAAGTCAATTATTTTTATTTTGACTTGTACACTCCTCAACACTCAAAGATTTCTTGGTGTATTAAAAAAAAAATAATACATTTTCATTTAATCAACTTGTATAATTTTTTCCTCACGATTATATTTATAATAAACTCACCAGGAGTTGAATTATTTTACTTGATAATTTATTCCGAGCTTTAAGCAATTGTAAATGCCGACACAAGAGTTCTTTGAGTTAACTTTATTTTTATTTCATTGAATTGACAAGATCGATTCCCATTTTTATTTATACATTTGCCAAGGCATTATTTCGTTTTTCATTTATGTAATAATTAATGTAGGGGTTTGTGGTCCGACTTAAAAAAAAAATTATTTAAAACTGGCTTTGGCTTCATGATCAAGAACTCGCACGATTGTCCTTTATCATCGACGAGAGAGAGAGAATTCAAGTGAAAAATGTTTTTTTTAAAAAAACAATCGTGAAAATCATTGACAAACTAACAAACAATAATTGTACAATCTTTGATTGTCTCAGAGATTGATTGAGCACTTATCTTTAATAATTATAAACGTTATAAATACTTTTAATTTATTGAATTTTTTTAACTATTTTTTTGGATTTTTCTTTCAATTTTTTGCTTAAAAATTACTTTATATAAAACTTTTCGTAATAAATTTGTGAACAAGTGATATGATTGAAGGTAAAATAATAACAAAGATTTTATGTGTGAAGAAATAAAAAATTTGATAGTTAAAAGTTTGGTGATAAACGTTTTTTTTTTAACATATTTGCAAATTAATTGCTTAGTTTTAAAAAAAAATTAATAAAAATTCTTAGAAGTTAAATTTGAAATTAAAAATCATTAGCAATTTTATTTTAATTAAAAAAATTAAATGTTCTCAAAAAACCAATTTTCTTAAAATTTATAATTAAGAAACGACCTTGTATTTTGTAAACTATTGATATTTTTAAAGATATAAGCTCATCCCGATGTTACAGTCATCGAGACTTTTCATTTGAGTATGCACATCAATTTTTTATATATTTATTTATATATATTATATATATGTATATATGAAAAATATATCAAAAATGCATGTGGGTACTCAAATTAAAGCTCTTGATGATTGTAACATCGGGATGAGCTTATATCTTTAAAAATGTCAATAGTTAACAAAGTACAGTGCAATTTAACAAAAGTCACTATTTAATAAAGTAAAATTTCATTCATTTATAGTTCAAAAGTCACGGCAGTCACATAGTGACTGCAAGATTGCTAGTATTTATTAATTTATTAGAGTTGATTTTTTTTTTTTTAATTAAAATAAAATTGCAAGTGTCAATAATTTGGTTTTTTACTTTAATATGTATATTATTGGATCATTAATTAATTAATTGAATTATTAATCATTTAATTAACAATCATACGTTAAAAAATTTTTCAAATGTTTTTTTTTTGAATCAATAAATCCTTAAATAAATTTATATTTATAAAAAATAAAATCAATGATTGTCTCTCTTTGGTTCGTCGAGTATGAAGTTAAAAAGTGCGGTTACAAATAATAACGCGATACCAAAAGCTCGCAGTCAATTAACAAAATTCTACGGAGATTTTAAATTAATAAAAATTCAATTTTTTTTTTTTTTTTTTTTTTTAATTTTTATAACTATGTGAAAATACTGTTTTTTCTCTTGCAATGGCGTTAAACTTATTTTTATCGTTTACACTGAAATAACTGCTGCAAGTCCTTTTATTTGTGCACTCGGCAGAAGCTAATTATGATTAACAAATAGTCAATCACACAGCTATTTATTATTATAATTAATTTTAGATTATTACTATTATTATCGTTAATTTATATTTATAATTTTTCTTTACAATATTTTTCAGTCAATGGAGAACTTTAAAGTCAATCGCGATAAAAATTACATACTCAATTACACAATTAGTTTTTTTTTCTCCGGTCTTCATTAAATATATTTTTCAATGATGTTGATTTTTGATTTACGCGAAAGACAACAAAATATCCTTGTAACTCTTCTTTTTTTATTGTTGCTGATGTTGTTTCATTTTTTTCTACATCAAACACAGAGATGGAGTTTAAAAAGCCTGAAAGTCCCTACAACCTTCGATTAATTGGCAGCATAGGCCTTTTCTCTATGTTTATTATTGACAACTTGCCGGAATACCGGAAAAAATGGCTAGAGAGCTGCTGAATTGCAGTTGTCGACTAGAGGAGACAGTGGTCCTACTTTACTACGACCACTGACGATTCTTTCCGGTTCAAAATGAACGTCCAATGATAAACCTGCAAGGTCAAATAAAATTATTTTTTATCTTTAATAAAGAAATAATTCAACACACTGTAAAATTAAATTATTATTATTATTATAAAAATAAGCATAAAGCAATAAATTATTTGTAGATGATTAAATAGCATGCAAATTCATTTATTTCTTCTGAGTTCAACTCATGAATTTTTTATGTAGTGATTTATATTGATGATATAATTATATTAATAAATTTTGGTAATTATTTACTTGTTTTTACGGCGGATTTATGATAAAAAATGTCGTAAAAGAAAAAAATAAAGATTTTGATAGTTTTTTTGCCTTCAAAAATTGGAAAAAATTTTGGCTTTCATGTTTTTGGATAAAATTTGTATTTAATCTTTTTTTGATAATTTTTTTTTTTTGAAAAACTCATAAAAATAAAGATGAATGTCACAATTTTCTAAAAAATTTATAAATTTTCTTGAAAATTTGGGAAATTTTTAAAAATTGTGATAACTTTTTTTTTCTTTTAATTGTTCAGTTTTAACTTCCCGCTAAAAAAATTGAAAATTTTCAAAAATCGAGAAGTTATTGTTTTCACCCCGTTTTTCGAAAATCGAATTTTCATCAGATCTCGACGTTTTGAGGTCCTAGGAAGCTTTCCTGACTATTTCCGCGGTAATGTCACCGTGTCTGTATGTATGTGTGTGTAAATCTTTCATAACTTTTGAACGGATCATCCGATTCGATCGAAATAAGCGGCGTTCTGAAGAGTTCTTTTGCCCCTAGAATTCTGATAGTAATTTACAGAATTTGAGTCGATCAATTTTAAGAAATCTCAAAAATAAAATTTCCAAAAATTCGTTTTTTTGAAATATCTTTTAAACGATTGAACCGATCAATTCCAAAAACTAATCAGCTCTTAACCTCAAAAAACCATATCGATTGCCACCAGCCCGGTCAAAATCGGTTGATTTGTTCGTGAGAAATCGCTGTCGAAAAAAATTGAAAAAAATGTTTTTTTCAGAATTTCTATGAAATTCTTATATTAGTCTGACCAGTTTACGCTTAAATATTTTTCAAAGAACTAAAAAAAATTGATTCAAAAGTTATTGCGGTTTGAAAATTCAAAACATTGTGTTCTATCAAACTTCCATTAGCCTTTTGAGCCTTTTAGAATTTTTCCATTGAATGTTACTATGAAGTATTTATAAATGAAAGTAAGAGGGTGATTATTTTTGGAATGTTAACGAGATAAATAATAATTGTAATTTTCAGGATAAATAAATAACGTGTGTTATAAAAATAACTAAGAGCAAAATGATTTCACGGACATTTATAACTCGTACTATTATATATCTTTATCGTGAATGACCTCGATCTACTTAGGCATATGAGCCCTCGAGCATAATGTATTTTACCAATGAAACCGACGTTTGAGTAGGCAAAATGAAAAAATAAACCCACCACCAGAAGCTTATGCATCCATCTCTAGTAATAAACGGAAAACCTGTAACGTACATTTTTGATATGCGTATTTACCAGATGGCCTGCGTGATGTGGAAGAGTGATGATGCAATGGACCCGCTGCCATTGGGCTTGTTTCATCAGGAATAAACGCAGCTACTAATAGCGCGCATATCACAAGTAATGCACCAAATACAAAGGGAGGTCCTGGCACCAACTGAAACCCATTCTTTATGTGACAACGATAGATTAACAATTTAATAATTAGTATTAATTTACTTTAAAACTAACTCATTGTAATTTTTATTTTAATGATAAAATTTTGTATCGTAAGGTAAAAGACTCAGTTATTGACACATTTTATTTGAATTAAAAAAAATTACTTTTATTAAATTACACTGTACTTTTTTAACTATTGACGCTTTTAAAGATATAAGCTCATCCCGATGTTACACTCATCAAGAGCTTTCATTTGAATACCCACATGCATTTTTGATATATACATATATATATATATAATATATATAAATATATGAAAAATTGATGTGGGTACTCAAATGAAAGGTCTTAATGAACATAACATCGGGATGAGCTTATATCTTTAAAAATGTCAATAGTTCACAAGATACAAGGTCATTTCTTAATTATCAATTTTAAGATAATTGGTTTTTTGAGAACATTTAATTTTTTTTAATTAGAATAAAATTTCAAGTGTCAAAAACTGGCTCTTTTACATTAAATATTAATTTTTTTTTGTACCTGCGGAACAACGTCTATATGTATAGTAGTTCCTGTTTGATTACTGTCTTCCAAAAAAGAAGGTTTTAGAGGTAGTGACGGCGTTTCGTCGTTGAGATCGACGTGAAATAAATAGAATATAACACCAAACATAGCTGGCCCAAGGCCATTGCATAGACCTCGCATTCCTGTGACCATCCCCTGAACCAGTCCCTGCTTATCTGCGTCCGAGTGCATTGATACGAATGCAGAAATCGCAGGATAGGTGATACTGGAGACTGAAGCAAGTACTCCAGCTGCCCACATCATCCTAGAAAAAAAGTTATTGATTTATTTTAAATCATCTTCACTGTAATCTAATAAATAAATTAAAAATATTCATCAATGTCTATTGATTATCATTTTTTTACACTTGGTTTGTAAAAAAACATCTCTATTTATATCCTAATAAAGGACTCTTCTACCTCAGCTCGTTATTATTTAAGAAAAATTTTTTACAAGACTTTAGGTAACATCAACAATTTTATTAATTTACTAATTGCTTTTGACTGCTTTTTTACCCTCTTTATTCGATTGAATTATCTTACATATGTTGGGTAATGGTATGTCATTAATGTCACGTCGTGAAATTTCATTAAGTGCCAAGTCAACAAATTGTGTTGAAAAAAAGCCTACGGTTATATTGATAGCAATTTTTTTTTTCTTTCTACATTTGACAAGAAGGAAGTGGTGATATGAAAAAAAAATATTCACGACGTTTATTATATTTATACAGAATTTTATCTAATGATGCTTTAATATTTATGTCTGCAAACTAAATATAATTTTTGTAATAAAATTTATTAAAAATTCAATTTGTAAATAAAAATATTTAAAAATTCAATTTTTAAATAAAAATTAAAAAATTTGAATTTAAATAAAAATTTTTTAATTTGAATTTTTTAATAAAAATTTAACGATTTAAAAATTTGAACTTTTAAATAAAATTTTTATAAATTTTAATTAAAATTATAATTATTTAATCTAAAAATATAATATACAAAGTAGTTTAATGAGTATCAGTAAAATAATAATAAATGATATGTTTAAAGTTATGAGTAAACACTGCAAGTAAAATATAGACGGTAAAAATCAATATGATTGCTAAGTAAACTAAACAAAGCCACGTAGCTTCAAGGATGTATCGAACATCGAGTTTTCATTTACTAACTATTATCATCTGGGATTCTAACCATCCTCTAATTGATACTGATGGCATGTTTTAATTTTATATTAAATTATTCTGTACATGTTAATCCGATATTAAATTCATGACCTGATTACCTCAAAAGTTACGGTCAATAAATAGTTATAATAAACAAGTAGATATTTTTAATAATAATAATTCTGACAGTAAAAATTGTAATTATAAAATAAAATTAAAAAATTACCAAGTCTGTGATCCAAATCCGTACCACATGAGCTGAAGCATTTCAAATAGTAAACCAAGCATGATTGTATGTTTACTACCAAGTGTCTTCATTAATGGACCAAGTAATATTTGTGCTCCAACACTTAAAATACCAACAATGGCAATAAATACCGCAACCATTACAGCTGAAAAACCCATTGCGAGTTTCAGGTAAACAAATATACAACTATATTGACCTGCTTCGGGCAAATAGCTTAAGAATACTGTGACACACAGCATCAATATGGTATGATCTTTTCCAACCTAAACAAATAAAATATATCAATCATTCTGTTTTATATTTAATATTTTATACATTTAACATTTCTTTTTGTTTACCAAATAATTATCTAATCTAGATATGATTTACTAACTATAAATCATTACAACAGGTGTTCTGTGATGTATTAATAAGATATGAATTGAATATGGTGCAATCATAATTGGAATATTTAATATTTAAATAACAATTCTAATGACATTAAAGCTTGACCATTTTTTAATTTTATTTAAAAAATTTAATCTAAAAAATTGCATTTTTAATTTTTTAAAATTTCTACGCCAATTTTTTTTTTGTCATAGTTTATTTCCATAAAAAATTCTAGATCTCAGTTAACTTAATTATAATTTTTAAAAATTTTTTTTAACAAATTTTTTCTAAAAAATTATTTTAAAAAAATTGCATTTTTTGTTTTTAAAATTTTAACAAGCCAATTTTTTTTGCCATAATTTATTTCTATAAAAAATTCTATCAGCTAATTTAATTTTTATTAAAATTAGCAGTCATGACCATTTTATAATTTTTTTTAACAAATTTGTTCTAAAAAATGATTTTTAAAAAAATACATTTTTAATTTTTTTAAATTTCTACGTCAATTTTTTTTTTATAATTTTTTTTGCCATAATTTATTTCTAAAAAAAATTCTAGATTTCAGCTAATTTAATTTTTGTTAAAGTTAGCAGACATGATCATTTTTTAATTTTTTTTTTTAAATTGCATTTTTAATTTTTTTTTACACTAATTTTTTTCTTAAAAAAATATAATTTTCATAAATTCTACCTTTCCTAAAGCTGCAAATGGATCAGCTTGTTCCCAAGATATGGGAACTGGTGGCCGAGCTTTTTCAGGCAAGCTTTCTGGTACTGCGACAAGTATAAAGAATACATCAAGAACGGCAATAGCTGTTGCTAAAGCAACAGCTAAATTTTCCCCATAAACGGTCATCGTCCATGCTCCTAAAGCAGGACTAATTACCATACTTGCTGCAAATGTGGCGGATACCTTGAAGAAGAAATAAAATTAAAAATGCTTCAATAGCAGTAGTAAATAATAAAAACAAAAAATTACCAATCCATATGCTAAAGATCGTTGACTTTCTTCAGTAACATCTGCTACGTATGCAAATACAACAGAAAATGTACAAGCAAAAACTCCGCTAATAGAAATCATTGCGAAGAACCACCAAGTGTTTATACTCATAAGTGGAATTGGTGCACATGTAAAAGCGACTGTTATCAGAAGAAAAAATTTTCTTCCCCAAACGTCAGACAATGCACCAATTAACGGCGCTGATAAAAACGAGAGTAGTCCTTTGATTCCCATTATTAAACCATTCATTAAAAATGTATGATCCGGAAAAGTTTCATTTAGCACAGATATTATCGGCATCGTCAGCAAACCCCAAGCGAAGAATTCCAAAAATATTACCACCAATGCATGATACACACTCGCTTCTCCCACACCAGAACTCTGGAACAAAAATACATTTTTATTGATTTATTATTATTATCAAATATTAACATTTAAGAATTAAAAATAAGAAATAACTAGAAATCTTGCAGTCACTGTATAACTGCCGTAACTTGTGAACTATAAATAAATAAAATTTTGCTTTAAATAATGACTTTTATTAAATTGCATTGTAATTTTTTAACTATTGAGGTTTTTAAAGATATAAACTCATCCCGATGTTACACTCATCAAGAGCTTTCATTTGAGTACCCACATGCATTTTTGATATATTTTTCATATATATATATATATATATAAAATATATAAAAAATTGATGTGGGTACTCAAATGAAAGGTCTCGATGAGTGTAATGTCGGGATGAGCTTATATCTTTAAAAATGACAATAGTTTACAAGATACAAGGTCATTTCTTAATTATGTTAAATTGCATTGTACTTTCTTAACTATTGACATTTTTAAAGATATAAGTTCATACCGATGTTACACTCATCAAGAGCTTTCATTTGAGTACCCACATGTATTTTCATATATTTTTCATATATACATATATATATAATATATATAAATATATGAAAAATTGATGTGGGTACTCAAATGAAAGGTCTTGAAGAGTGTAACATCAGGATGAGCTTATATCTTTAAAAATGTTAATTGTTCACAAGATACAAGATCATTTTTCAATTATTTATCTAGAAATAGAGCAAAAAACCGATTTTATCATATAAATATCCTGAAAACAAAATTTTTCTTATTCTCTTAATAATATAGATAATCGTAGTACGGTTTTATAAATAGAGTTATCATATATCATTGACTTTTAATTTTAACTCAAGAAACTTTTCAATTTCTCATCAATTATTATGTCCATTAGATTTGAATAAAAATTTATAAGTGTTAAATATTTATAAACAAGTTCAAGGTACTATTTCAGTTGCACAGTATTTAAAATAATTTTTTTCGTAACCAGCAATAAGAGATTAATAAAGACAATCATTGCTCAAGGCTAAAATAAATATTGGTAATTAAAGCTTATAAAAAAAATTGGTATTACTGGGTTATAAATATCAATCTGAGTTCAATGATAAACTATTTTAGAGGCTGACCTTTAAATGCCTGTAACATCTTTGAAAAAGACTTAAAGACGGTGCTATTATGTCAGGTGTTATTTCTTCATTATCATGGAGCTCAGAACAAGAGGGATCTAGGCCCTCTGCCCCACCTTTTGCCCCGGGGGGCATGACACCTTGGTCACAACCCCCTTGTTTATATTTTATTTTATTCTACTTTTCTTCATTTAATTTATTAGTTTTACAGTACAAAATCCACATTATCAAGGTGGCATAGTCTTCTTTATAATTAGTATTATTATTTTTCACCAGCTCGCACATTTATCACAAACAATTAAATGCTAGATCATCACAAAATAATAAATATTTTTATAAAAGCTCACAAATAAATATCCAATTTATTTTAACAATTTAATTTTCTTCTTTTGATTTTTTCATTTCAAGGTTAGTAAAATCAGCCACTCAGTGATTTAATTTCTTCAGCAAAAAATACCCGAGAGTAGAAATAAATGATTGTGATATTTTTATACAATGACAGTCTTTGCCAGTAAATATTACGCCTGCAGCAGTCAGCTGACAATCATCCATAATTATTCAGAGATTTTCTTCCATAAATAATATTTTTAATTAAATTTCTTTATCAAAAAAAAAAAAAATTAATTTAAAAAAATAAATAAATTCTATAAATTTAAATAAATACTCCAATTAAAATAAAAATAATGAATAATTAAAATATCAAATTTTCGTAGCTAATAAATTGTTAAATAAAATAAAAAAGGCAAAACACAAATCCGACGACAACAATTGTGTTACTAACGCGTTCGTTATAGACAAACTAGTAACAGCTAAAGCAACTCCGTCGACGACGTTTGCGATCGAACGCATGTCGTTCCTGTGACCCGGATCCTCTTCGTTCTTTGTCGTCACCAGGCCAGTTGCTTGATAACTTTCAAGTATTTAATTTTTTTCTTTCTTCATTAACTTCTTTATAAATACACCTGTTTTCAAATAAATATATTATTAATAAAAAAACACTATTATTATTATTATTATTATTATTATTATAACTATTATTATTTTGTCAATCGATATTCTGATGACGTACACGCCATTGTCTTATTATTTTTTTTCTATTTCACTAAATAGAGTTAATTTCACCAAAAAAATATTACCATAAATAATTTTTAAATTTCTTCTTATTTATTTATAACAATTTTTATTTCAAAAAAATTTTCAAGTCCGTCAATTTTTTAACACCGGACCAGTAATTGATGTCCAGTATCAATTAATTTACAAGATGGCATTTAAATTATTTATTAATTAATAATAATAACTTTTCTTCGAAAAAATGACTCCATAAAACTGTCACTGATCACTGATGACTGATTTATAATAAAAAAATGAATTTCTTCTTCATTAAATATTTTTTAATAAAAAATCCACTGAGCTTGTTTGATAATGTGCTTTTTTTAATAAAATAATTAAATGCTTGTATCAAATAACATATTTACAGTAGTAAATTTTCTATATACTAAAATTTACAGTGTTTGCTCGCGAAAAAACGACGTACCACTGCATTGCCGACCCTCTACTACTTTTAATTCCTGAAAGTGTGGGTGCTTTGATCTCTCCCTTTACCGTACATACTTATTCTCTTTCTCCGTCGGTCACTTTTTCTCTAAATCCATCCTCTCTTTTCACTCTTGTCATCTATCTCAAACTATTTAGGCATTACATATGTCTATCTTTTACACATACATAAATATTCCCATGTATATATATTTATATTATGTATGTAAACCCCAAGGTAGAGAATCAACCTCTACGTTATGTTCTGCGACCGCGCAGATGCTTTTACAGTCAAAATTAAATACCTTTACTAAGTATTATTCATATTTATGATTAATTATGCTCAGTAATGACATCAACTTTTTTTATGACATAAGATGATAAAAAAACTCCAAGATATATAAGAAAAAAAAAAAAAAATTAATGGACATATATACATCATACGTGTAATGCAGATAATCTTTAAATACTGGTTTCATCTATAGTACTTAATACTTGCATAAATTATTTACTCAGTTGTATAAATATTTTTATTAATGTATCAATAAAATAAAATATGATTTAAAAAGAACTTTTTATAAGGTGTATTTTTTTTTTTTTTTTTTTAGAGTAATTAATTATTTTAAAAATTACTTTTGTGTATGAAAATGAAAAGGTGCATAGTAAACTGATAAAATATTTATTATACACTGAAAAAAGGTGATAAGAATGTATTCAGGTGTATTGCTGATAACGTGTATGTGTAAAAAAGTTATAAAAAAAAATGAGAAATAAGTTCTAGGCAAACATTAATTACTATATTATCGAAAAAATATATATTTCAAATTAACTTAAATAGTTGAACTAGTTAAGCTTATCATTAAATTATAAAACATAAAGTTTTATAAAATATTAAGCTTATAAAATAATTATTTAAAAAAAAAAATAAAAATTTTAATTGACAAAAAATATTAAAAAATATTTTTGTCATTTCTTCTTTTATTTTATATTATTGACAAAATAAACCAATTAGGTATACTTTATTGAATAAAAGTAATCCTAAAAAATATGGAAGAATTATTTTTTTTTAACATACTGTAAAGATATAATAAATAGAGATATTTTTTTTAATTAGATTAATTAGATTATTTAAGTAAATAAATGAATCAATAAAATATGTAAATAATAAATAAATGAATGAATTACCGTAATAACTCCATCTTTAACAATAGACTTCCTACTTCTTATGATCATGCTGACTATTTTTTGTGAGATCTTGGCGGGCATGCTAATGCACTGGGCGCACAAACTTTTACGCTTTTTTAGTTTCATCAAATTGGATTAAAAGTAAAATTTAAAAAATAATTATAATGTTAATTAGTAAAATTATTACCCATTACAAATGGTGTTTTTTTTTATAAAATTATTCTATTAGTTAGTTATAATTTGTAATTTGTTTAAAAAACAAATGAATAATTGTTAAACAAACTTAATAATATTGATAATTATATCAATAATAAATTGATGACGTTAAATAATCTTCATTGCCGTTGATGATGTAGTATAGGCTACACAAAAAACACAACCACCATAATGCGATATGTCGTATAAACGAACAAATTTTTATTTAATGTAATATAGACAAAGATCAAGGTATAGTTAATAAGTATTGTAAATTGTCGAGTGGCATAAACTGTGCGAAGAAATGAGAAATACAAAATGGAGAACGACGCAAGCGCCAAAGTGACATGTCAGTAATTTTTCTTACCTATTAATGGTAAGAAAAAATTTTATTTAATATATTTTTGGCACCCAAAATTGTCCATTGAGTTTCGAGTCTATATTTTATTGCCACCAAAGACATTAAGGACATTTATCGCTTTTTTTCTTTGCCACTTCCACTCTATTTCCACTGCACGGAGACGAGGGTCGGTCGGCAGTAGGTCTGAAAAAATTTATTTAATTTAATTAAACAAATTATACTTTTTATTACAATTATTTCGTTGCTCTGTAATATTTATTAATCATTAATTATTAATTAACTTAAATTTAAATATTTTTTTTATTTTATAATAATTTTTTTATAACTTAAATTTTTATATAATAATTTATTTTATAATATTTTATGAATTTTAATTTATTATTTTTTATTTATTAATTTTTTTTTCAGCAGTTTTAACAGTGAAGTGCAGAGTTTAAACCTACAAAGGACAAAATGTGGTCGTCAATGCTTGAAGCCTCAAAGATGAATCCATTCGTGGCACCCAAATGTCAGGGACAAAATGATAACAGTCAGAGTTTAATTCCAGGTCGTAATATCGGTGCCTTTAGCGTAGCAGAAGGTGGTAAGGAATATTTTTAATTAAAACACTAATTTAAAAATTTTTTTTATGAACTAATAAATAATTTTGACACGATCAATACTTAAATTTTCATTTCTAATCTTGATAAATTAATTTAAAGTACAAGTTTTTTTTTCTTTTTGGTAATCGATGTCATGTGACATGAACTTCATTCGTAATTCTACTGATAATAGAAAAACGTGTGATAAATGTTAGACAGATTTAAAAACTCCATTTTTTAAAGTAATTTTTATTTTCTAGATATTAAATTTAGTGATTTGTAAAATTGTAAAAAAAAAATGAATTATATAAGAGTTATTGTATATAAGGTTAGCTATGTATCTTACTCTTGTGTCAGTGGAGCAACCGCGCGGGAGTAATTGCGTAATGACGTCCATTTTGTCAAGGTATTAAGGTCTTTGTGACCTTGAAGATAACTTCATTTACCCTCTTTTCATTTTATGTACCTTAAAAAAAAATTGTATTTAGTTAATTACCTTCTGAGTAATTTTTGGCTTCTCAATAATTAACAAAGTTATTAGAAATTAATAGATTGATAAAATATATCCCAAAGAAATTCCAATAGATGTCTAAAAACTGATCTTCATCACCTGATTGACAATCCGACCTTGATTCAGGGTTACTAATGCTAAGATTGCGGACAATAGCTCAAAATAAACTATATCCTAAAAATACACAATATATACATACTCAATCAAGACCTTGCTTGCTTTTTTTTCTGTGTCACTTTCATGAATGATTTTCTCTTCATTGAGTAAAATTTAATTGTTGTAAAAAAATTATTTTCTAAGAAATAATAATAAAGTTAGCCGACATTTTTGATTTTTTTAAATCGCTGCAATAAAAATTTTTTAAATTGCACTTTTAGTTTTTCAAATTTTTTACGAATGAAATTAAAAAAAAAATTTTTTTGTCATAATTTTTTTAATAAAAAAAATTCTAGAAATTTTTAAATGTCGGCTAACTTTTTTTCATTTCTTAAAAATCAAACATAAATTTATTGAATAATGATTTAATAGAATTCAAGCAAAATAATCCTTCAATTTAATAATTTTTATTTATTTTTTTTTTATTCTGCAGATAGCTGCGAATTTGGATCGAATCATTACTTTATGCTATGCGGTCTCGGTGGTATTTTATCCTGTGGGCTTACTCACACAATGGTAACACCTCTGGACTTGGTGAAATGTCGTATCCAAGTTGATCCTGATAAATACAAGAATGTAATCACTGGATTCAGGGTAAAGTATTTGTATAATAAATAAATCCTAATTAATATTTATTTATTTATTTATTTATTTATTAATCAACATACGCCTATCGGCAATATACATCACTAGAAATTATTTAAAATTAATAACATTACTTAAATAAAAAAAAAAAAAAAAAATTAATTAGAATTTAATTAAAGAAAAAACGAGAAAACGTCTGTGTAGTTTATATATAAATGAGTAATTGTAATAATATTAAAAATAATTAATTTATTTTTATTTTAAAAATAGGTAAGTTTGCAAGAAAGCGGAATGAAAGGATTGGCTAGAGGTTGGGCCCCAACTTTCTTCGGTTACTCTATGCAAGGATGCTTCAAATTCGGTCTGTATGAAGTCTTCAAGGTCTACTACTCAGCTTTGATCGGCGAAGAGCTTTCATACGAGTACAGAACAGGTTTGTACTTGGTATCTTCAGCGTCTGCTGAATTCTTCGCTGACATCGCCCTTGCACCTATGGAAGCTGCCAAGGTAATTAATCCGTACTTCTCACAAGCTTAAAAAAAAAATTCTTAAATGAAGTCAAAGTTTCTTGAGCCAAGAAAATTTCTTCTTGCTCGAAAATAACTTTTGTCTTCCTTAAAATTTTCTTGGTCCAAAAAATTTTTTTTTGTGTACACGGAAAAAACAAGATGACACTGGATATCATCCCAGATTATGCTCAGTGATATCTGTGGTGAAAAAATTTCAGATAGTACTCTTATTAATTAATTAATTTATTAATTTAATAAATAATTTATTTATTTATTTATTTATTAATCAACATACGCCTATCGGCAATATACATCAATAGAAATTATTTAAAATTAATTAAAAAAAATTAATTAGAAATTGATTAAAGAAAAAAAAAACGAGAAAAACTCTGTGTAGTTTATATGTAAAATAAGTAATTGTCTTATCATCGATAAAATTTATTTAATTAAAATTGAATTATTCTAGGTCCGTATTCAAACCATGCCTGGTTATGCAAACACTCTCCGTGAAGCTCTACCAAAAATGATGGGTGAAGAAGGACTTGGTGGTTTCTACAAGGGTCTTGTTCCACTTTGGCTCCGACAAATTCCATACACCATGATGAAGTTCGCTTGCTTCGAGCGTACTGTTGAGTTGCTGTACTCACATGTCGTGCCTAAACCCCGTCAAGATTGCACCAAGGGCGAGCAGTTGATTGTCACCTTCGCTGCTGGTTACATTGCTGGAGTATTCTGTGCTGTAGTATCTCACCCAGCTGACTCTGTAATTATCTTACAAATTTTTTATATTATTTTAGAATTTTATTAGGAATTAGATCATGTATTTATATAAATATTTGATTGCAGGTTGTGTCAAAACTTAACCAAGAAAAGGGAGCCACAGCTGTTGATGTATTGAAGAAACTAGGATTCGGTGGAGTATGGAAAGGACTTGGACCTAGGATTGTTATGATTGGTACTCTTACTGCTGCTCAATGGTTCATCTACGACGCCGTGAAAGTTTACCTTCGTATGCCACGACCACCACCACCAGAAATGCCCGAATCTCTTAAAAAGAAGTACGGAGTCGCTTAAGATTCTAGCAACTGTTGGGTGTTAAATAGATTAATAAATAAATAAATAAGAAAAATTGAAATACATTCAGAGCCAATAATTAATATAGATGGATTCACTCGCTATCTTTAATACAAATTGAAAGTTATCACTCGATTATATAATTTTAAACTGTATTAAATTACTTATTATTTAATTATTTTCAGTATTTATTTTAAATTTAAATATTCAACGAGCAACACTGCCGAAATTCTAATTAAAATTTCATTTAAATGTAAAAATTATTTTTATTAACTTAATTTGTTTTCAAGAATTTGTGTCAATTCCGTTTTAGTATTTCTATAAGCAATCGTTGATTCCATGTTAATTAATAAATAATTTTTCTGTAAATAGAGTGATCAGTGAATAAATGAAAATGTTATAAATTCAATAATTGAATTTTTTTTTTTTTTTTTTTTTTTCCTTTATTTTAATCCTTCCTTACTATATGAAAATTAAGTAAGCCGACATTAAAATTCTTTTTTATTAAAACATTACAAAAAAATAAAAATTTTCATTTGTAAAAAACTTGAAAAACTATAAGTGCAATTTTTAAAAAATATTTTTTAGTTCTAATTTAGTAAATGAAAAATAATCAAAAAATTAAAAATGTCGGTTTACTTTATTATTATCCTTACTATTTATTTAATTAATTTTGACATTAAAGTTAGCAGACACTTGACTATTTTTTTATTTTATTTAAAAAAATTAGTTACAAAAAATTGTTTTTTTAATTAAAAATTTTTTTTTAATAATTTAATTAAAAAATTTTTTTTTAACTATCAAAAATCTAATAATTTAATTTTAATCACTTAATTTTTAATAAAAATTGAAACAATTTTTTTTCTTAATTATGTAAGTTATTTAATCAATAATCCGTGATAGCTGATGCCAAATTCAAAAACCCCGCTAAAATAAACAGTGATGCAAATATTTCTTCTCAAAAAAAAATATATAAATAAATAATATTGGCACCACTGAATGACTTCAGAAACAATTTTAGAAGTTGGAGGTCGTTATTGTGATTGTTTTCATGGTTTTCATTCGTCAACAATCAACTGAGTGTTTTTATATATTAAAAAATTACATAAAAAATATTTAATTAATCATAAACAATGGATAACAGTGGAGAAAGTGGAGATGATACAAACCCTCAACCAACATCATATTACACTGGCAGTGGAATGCCTGCTAATTATGTCGGAGTTCCGTCAGACGATCTTGAAGGTAAATTTTGCAATTAAAATTAGCAATCACTTAATCATTTTTTTAACAAACAAATTATTTTTAAAAAATGGAATTTTCTAATTTTTTAAATTTCTACATGTTAATTTTTTTTTTGCAATAATTTGTCACCAAAATTATTAAATATTTTCTAAATTAATTTTCATGTAATTTTTTTATAAAAATTAAATCAGCTGACATTTGAAAATTTTTATAATTTATTTTATAAAAAAAAAAAAAGTTTTTTTTTAATGTAATTAATAATTAAATTTTATAAAAAAAAAAAAAATAATCAAAACTTCAATTAATAACATGTTTGAAGTAAAATAAAAATGGCTGTTCTATAATATTAAGCGGGATATTTAAAAAAAATTCATAATTATTTACATTTAAATAAATAAATAATTAAATATTGCAGATGATCCGGAGAACACTGATGACTCTAATCACGGCGGAGGTGACCCATTGCATGGAGGAGGAAGTGGTGGACCATCTGGTCCACTTCGTGAGCAAGACCGTTTTTTACCAATAGCAAATGTAGCTAAAATAATGAAAAAAGCGATCCCTGAAGCCGGAAAGATTGCAAAAGACGCACGTGAGTGTGTACAAGAGTGTGTTTCTGAGTTTATATCATTCATTACATCAGAAGCCAGCGATCGGTGTTTCATGGAAAAACGTAAAACAATAAACGGTGAAGATATTTTATTCGCCATGACAACGCTGGGCTTCGATAATTATGTAGAGCCATTAAAAATTTATCTACAAAAATATCGAGAAGCTACCAAAGGTGATAATCCACAAGGTTCAAGTACACCTTCTGGTAATGGCAAGACTGATGCATCTAATTTAGCGCTTTATGATGAACAAGTATATATTCCAAATGCATCAGAGACAGTTGTCTACACCTACGCAGGGACGGATCAAATGCAATTTCCACTTCCTTGATCTTTTGATGAATCTAATGATTCTTGGACTAATCTGGAGAATTAAAATAATTATTAAAAATATGTTTAATGTGATTTGTATTCATCAAATACTTGTGATTGATAATTAATATTAATGATCATTTCAATTTATAAAATAATAAATTAAGAAAAAAAAATATAGAAATTAAATTATGATACTGAAGTTGAGAGACATTTGATAATTTTTAGATTTTTTTTTACCAAATATTTTATTTAAAAAAAATTTAATTTTTAAAAACTTTAAAAAATTATAAATGCAATTTTTTTTTAAATAATTTTTTATATCTTATTTATTTTTCAAGAAAAAAAATAAGAAATTTTCAAGTGTCTGCTAATTTCAGTGTCATTTAAAATTTTTATTTTATTTTACATTTTAATCAGCGTAAATTTTCTCAGTTGCAATCTTTTTTCCTTTTAAAATTATTATTAACATTTGTATGTAAAGTTTTGTTGTATTTTTATGGATGAAAAAAAAAAAAAAACAATTCTAATGAATCAAAGGATGGAGGATTAAATTTAAAATCCATTTATAATGTTAGTGAAGAAGAATTGAATTATCTTTTAATATTTACATTATAACGTGAAACAACTATTTTAAACATATCACCCATTTTATTTAAATGCTTGATATAATCTCCATGCACAGATACTAATAGCGGCGACTGTAATGGTCCCATGAAGAATTCGTCGACGTTTATCGTCTTTTCGTACGAGAAATGTTGGTGAACAAGGTCCGAGAATTGCCAGCAACTCTACATGAGGTAATTTACTGGTGTCAGTTTCTACTTGGTATTGGCAGCAAGGATCAAACTGCCAGGACACAGTGTAAAGACCACATGTTATAAAGGCCGTTATTCCGAAGGTACTGCAGAGGTAAGGTTTATTACCCCAAAGTGCACCTAAACATACAAAAATTAATTTAGACAATATTTAAGAATTTTTTTAACAAATAGATTATAAAAAAACAAATTTTCAATTTTATTTAACAAATAAATTTGTTCCTAAAAATTATTTAAAAAAAATTGTATTTTTTTTTTTTTAAATTTTTTGACTAAATTACTTTTCATATTTTTCTAATAAATAAATAAATAAATAATAATAAATAAATTATGGCTGAAAATTGACTTGTAGAAATTTAAAAAAACTAAAAATGCATTTTTTTTTTAAATAATTCAGAACAAATTTATTTGTTAAAAAAAAAAATTAAAAAATTGTCATAAATGTTTATATTATTTTATTTTGCTGTTTAAAAATAATAATTTACCAGTAACAATAGCTGTTAGCCCTGAAAGTGATGCTGTTTTGTGCAAGCAGTTTCCAACTGTAATCCATCTTGATGTTTCATCGCCTAATTTTGAAGGTTCAATGACAATTAAATTACACTTTGCTTCCAGTGCTCTCTCCAATTCATACTCGAAGGTTTCATGAGCGTTTGCGCCGTCATATACCTCTCGAATAATAGCAACATTTGAAGAATCGTTTCTGAAAAAGATGATTCATAAATAAACAATTAAAATATTCTTTCTAGAGCCATTGAAAATAAATTATTTCAAGTATAGAAATTAATTTTACTAAAAAAAAAAAATTGAAACCGGTTATTAAAGTATCCATGTTACAACATATGCATAAATATAAATATGCATATTTTAATAATAATATTCAGAAAAAAAAAAAAATAGTTTTTAAAAGTATTTATTATATTGATCATGTTTTAATTTAAAACATCTGCATAAAACTATATGAATATATTTTTTTGTATGATTCAGTCGCCATAAGACTTTAGATATTAAAAATATTATTTTAGATTTTATCCAGAGATTATTAAAAAAAAAAAAAAAAAAAAAAAAAAGACACTTTGCACAGATAAGATATATAAAAATAAATTAACTTGATAATTTAAATAAAAAAAAATTAATCAATAAAATCATTTCGGCAATAAATATAAACTGGAAGATGTAATTTTATAATTAATACTTCACTCCAAAATAATAATAAATAAATTGATCAGCAACAAATTTTAAAAAATTGTTTAAAAATTAAAAAAAAATTCAAAGCGGGAAATTAATGAAATAATTAGCATTTTATGCAGTTGTAATTATCATAAGTAGCGTCATTAGATGTAAATAAATAGTAGTTATACATACTTAAAATTATTATCATCCATAATATCTTATGTCAACAAAATCCCACAATTTTTGACTAGAGTAATATTTCTTGATTATTTTCTATACAAACGGGTGAAAATTATATGATAAAAACGTGTATTCACGATCAGCTGACTGGGAGCAAGCTTGGAATCTAAAGGCTTGTACACAACCATTAATAATTTGGAAGAAGAAAACACAAAAAAAGGTTGATTTGGATTATGTATTAGTTTGTCTTTTATATTGACCCAGATTCCATCTTCGGGAATTTAAGAAAATATAATATATACTGTATTCCCGTTCAATACTGATTTGCGATTCACTAAGGGGAAACAAGAGAGATGGAGACCATGGAGGCTACTCAGATAGAAAGGGTTGAAGATTTTATAACTTGAATCAAGACATGTATTTTAACATCATCTATGAGAGTTTCAAGTATTAAAATCCAAACTTGCAAAAATTTATTTATTCATATTTTATTATTCACTTCATTTATTTTATGCAGACAGTTCTTAAAATTTTTGGCACTGAAATAAATATTGTTTATTTAAAAATAAATATGAAAGAAAATAATTTGTAAACACATACCGGGATCAAATTTGAAATAAATCCAACAGCTGATAAATTTAATTGCAAATTTTATCCTCCAATGTATCTTCACAGATGGAGTTTTGGTGGTTGTCTAAAAAATTGTGTAAAATAATTAACAAAGTTAGTGATTTTAAATTAATTAAATTTTAAAATAATGGATTTTAAGTAAATAAATATATAATTAATAAATATACTGCTTATATATTTTAAATAAATACTGATTTTCACTTTGTTGACTATGTCAGTACACATGATCATAGAGAATGTCAAAGTACATGTCTCTCGATATGTATATAAAACATTTAATGAGTTTAGTTCTTTAAATATACCTTAAAAAAATTATGATGTGATTAATTTTCATTTATTTGTGGAATTTGACGGAGGTATGTTCAATTTTTGATAATATAAAAATATATAAAGAACATTATTTCATTTTTGGAGTTTCGGGTACGATGTAAACATCTTCGTGGGTTTAAAAGATGATAATTCTAACCTCAATTATAATTTTAATAAACATTATTTAGTAATTGTAACAATAATTAATGATACTGTTCTATTAATAGGTATGATTAGAATCTGCTGAGTCAACAAGTAGTTCAGAATAATTTTGTTATTTTTGTGACATTTGTCAGCTACATCTGTTGACTTGCAACTCTTATTATTTACAGAAAAAATTGCGCTGCAAATAATAAAATTGTTAAATTTTTTTTTTTTATTTATAAAACTTCATATAATTACAATATTCTTCAATATTTTCATATAGTGATTGTGACGTCAAAACTAACTTTAAAAGTTAAGGTCATTAAAAGGCTGCGCCATCTTACTAAGTGGTACAACATCTGCAAATTTGAATCAAATATTTTTTTTTTAATTAAATTACAACTAAAAAGATATTTGTAAAAAATTGCACTTGGAGTTTTTTAAGTTTTTAATATGTGATCTTTTTTTTTTAATTGTTTCATTGAAATTTTTTTTCTTATTTTTTTTGCCATAATTTATTTGTTAAAAAAAGTTCTAAAAATTATCAAATATCTGCTAAATTAATTTTCATTAATAAACTTTATTTCGTTTTTTATAGGTGGAGACTTTGATATGGTAGAGTATAAAATGTTTAAAAAACCACGCAGAGACTAAATAATTCAATATGACACCAGTAATTGTTGTCTGTTTTATTTTTTTGATAATCTACAGTAGTTTTACATGGTATTTATCACAAATTTGTCATTTTTTAAATAAATTTTAAATGTCGACTTGAAATAATTATACAATTTTTTTAGGATTCTCCCGAGAGGATTAGCCTGGCTAGTAAAACGAAAGTACAAAATTCACCTCCGAGTAGGTCACATCATTTTCCCTTATTTGATCCTCCGTGATGTGACCATCACCAAAAATGGCTTCACCGTGGTAAGTAAAAAATTATATTAAAGTTAACAGTCATTTGACTAATTACAATTTTTTTTTAACAAACAAATTTCTTCCCAAAAATTATTTAAAAAAAATTCTATTTTTAATTTTTTTTAAGTTTTTGCATGTCATTTTTTTTTTTTGCCATAATTTATTTGTTAAAAAAAATTGAAATAAATTTGATAATTTAAATTTATTAATATCTTCCATTTAATAAAGCAAATTGAAGAAATTACAATACGAAGTAGTTTACTTAGCAGCGATGTCGCCAAGCTATTTTCCGTTGTGATGCACGACGTCAGAATAAATAAGGATGTTCCTGTGACACCTGCGATCAAAAAAGAAAATTTTGACCTGACATTAGATTTTAGAAATAAAACAGTTTCACCGATAATCATCAAATTCGTCCAAGTAAGATATTTAAATCAATATTTTACAATATTTAATAATACAATTGATATTCTTGATTTAGTTTATGGCTGTGAATATAGAAAACGTGAGTCTGCTCGCTTTAGGAAATGGATGGCTAGTAAATGGCAGCGCTGAAAGTTTAAGCTTAGACGGAAGCATTGTTCATGGAGCTCGAACACTCTTAGCTTCTGTTACAATTACAGGAGGATCAGTTAAACTTTTACATCATGCATCAGATGCTTGTTTATCACAAGTAAGTTTTGCTGGAAGTGTTGAAGCGACTTTGAAAGCTCAAGGTGAACTTGCAGTAGAGGTAATTTACTCTGTCAATTATAAAAATTTTTAATTTTATATCTTACAATTTAAAATACGCTTTAAAAATATTTTTTTATCCTTTAGAAATTATTTATCGGTGTAACACAAACTGAAAGTTCTGGAGGTGCGGGATTGATGCAATTTTTGCGCGACAGACAATCTTTATCACCACAACCACGACCTCGTAACATACCAACTAATGAATATTATAAAAATTTACTCTCAAGAATTTCTCCGATTTTACCAAAGGTAAAATTAATTCACAATATTTATTTTTGCTTTATTAAATAATGACTTTTGTTAAATTGCATTGTACTTTCTTAAATATTGGAGTTTTTAAAGGTATAAGCACATCTCGGTGTTACACTCACCAAGACCTTTCATTTGAATACCCACATGCATTTTGATATATTTTTCATATATATATATATATGAAATATATGAAAAATTGATGTGGGTACTCAAATGAAAGGTCTCGATGAGTGTAACATCAGGATGAGCTTATATCTTTAAAAATGTCAATAGTTTACAAGATACAAGGTCATTTCTTAATTATGTTAAATTGCACTGTACTTTCTTAATTATTGACATTTTTAAAGATATAAGTTCATACCGATGTTACACTCATCAAGAGCTTTCATTTGAGTACCCACATGCATTTTCATATATTTTTCATATATACATATTAGGGTGGCGCAAAAAAACCGACTATTTTTTTTTTTTTTGAGTCTCGAGTAAAAAAAATGTTAGTTTTTGATGTTTTAAGAGCCCTCACCAAAGGACAGCTCAAAAAAAAAAATTTTTTAAGAGGTCACAAATTTTTCAAAATTTCAAAAATCGAATTTTTTTTTTTTTCAATTTTTTTTCTCGTTACGGTATAATTTTAT